AACTCCTATACTGCACGATGTCGAATCCAAAAATGTGGCGGTAGCCATATTATATCAAATTTAAACAACATATGTACAGTTCAGAAGCAAACATAAAAACTTCAATATAAGTACAAAATATAGAAAGAATAACAATATACAATGATAAAATCTCAAATTGGAATCAAATAAAATACCAAAAGTGTCAACAGAAAAGGTCCGTCATGTCATAACAAAAATATGTAAACATGGAGGGATTTTCCAAAACACAAAACATTCAAAAAGGATTCTACACCTACTATGGTCCAAGTAGAGTTCAGAAAAGCTACGGTCAATTTGAGTAGTACGGCTAACACTCCGTCACCTATCTTGTCTTATTACTCGGAATGGATGAAATTGGTGAGGGCTGTAGCGTGGCTCAGAAGGTTCATAGACTTCTGGATAATACTTCACTCGCCGAGTATTGAAGGCTCCGTCACGACAGGTTGCCTAAAGGTCAAGGAGCTTGAGTCAGCCAAACGGAAGGTCCTGATGGTTGTTCAAAGGGAGGCATACGGAGAATTACTGAACGAATCCAACGTTAGTCGTAAAGAAGTGAGTAATAAACGTCTGAGAGGTTTAGCACCAATAATGATTGATGGGTTACTCTGCGTCGGAGGTCGCCTAATGTACTCCGAACTCCCGAGCGAGTCGAAACATCCTGTAATTTTGCCTGGTCGACATAGGGTAACCGAATTGATAGTTAGACACTATCACAAGGAAGAAGGACATATGGGAACTTCGCATGTGTTAGCTACGATCCGCAAGTACTATTGGATAGTTAAGGGCACCAGCACGGTTAAAAGAGTAATAGGAAAGTGTGAAACTTGTCGAAGGTTCACTTTATGTCCAGGGAACCAACAGATGGCGCCACTCCCAGTTTACAGAGTGCAGAAGGGTTGGTATAGTTTCGCGACGACAGGTGTGGACTACTTCGGACCTCTTCTGGTCAAGAGGGGTAGGTCACTAGAAAAAAGATATGGTTGTGTGTTTACCTGCCTGCAGACAAGAGCAGTACATATTGAGATGGCATACAGTCTGAATACCGATTCATTTATAATGGCTTTAATACGTTTTATCGGAAGAAGAGGGAGACCGACAGATGTGTTTAGTGACAACGGATCAAACTTCGTGGGGGCAGTCACTGAACTAAAGAACTTCGTGCAACAGTGGAATCATCAGAAAATTAGTAAGGAATTATCGTCAAGACAAATTCAATGGCATTTCAACCCTCCACTAGCCAGCCATAGAGGTGGAGTCTGGGAACGAATGATTAGATCTATACGAAGGCTGCTATTATTGATCACCAGGGAACAAGTGTTAACAGATGAAACCTTAGGTACGTATCTGATTGAAATTGAGAGAATTCTAAACGATCGACCCCTAACCCCGGTAGTCCAGGATGCTAACGACCGACTAGCTTTATCACCAAATAGCCTACTGTTATTGAGAGAGTGTGACGGAATAGCTGAGGAAGGAAGTATTAGTGACAAGTTCCACAAACGTTGGAAGCAGGTAAATTACTTAGCCAACGTGTTTTGGAAAAGGTGGTTAAAGGAGTATTTGCCTTCCTTACAAACCCGTCAGAAATGGCTAAAGGAGCATCGCAATTTTCAGAAAGGAGACGTAGTTATTGTCGCCTCGGATATTACTACTCGTGGAAAATGGCCCTTAGGGATAGTAGAGGATTGCGAGACAGATAAGGACGGAAAGGTCAGAACAATAGTCGTTCGTACTAATAACGGGGTAGCGAGAAGAGACATACGAAGGGTGTGTCTCCTAGAAGGTTCCAACTAGATAGGTTATATCCACATTGGATGGCGGGTAGGCGTACTGCTGTAAGTCCTACACGTTCTTCCGGTGTGGATTAGGGGATAACTGGGAACCCTAAATAGAAGTGTCATTAACGCTTGCTTTTTGCATGGAGGGATTTTGCGGGCCGGTGTAGAATCCTTTTTGAATGTTTTGTGTTTTGGAAAATCCCTCCATGTTTACATATTTTTGTTATGACATGACGGACCTTTTCTGTTGACATTTTTGGTATTTTATTTGATTCCAATTTGAGATTTTATCATTGTATATTGTTATTCTCTCTATATTTTGTAGTTATATTGAAGTTTTTATGTTTGCTTCTGAACTGTACATATGTTGTTTAAATTTGATATAATATGGCTACCGCCACATTTTTGGATTCGACATCGTGCAGTATAGGAGTTCACCTAGACCTCGGAACATTGATACTCGTTCAGAGTAATTTTGAATTGGAAGGCGTAAATTTCGTTAGGTATTATTTGTATTTCCATTTATCATTTATTAATAGACCATTTTCCCCTAGAATTATTGTGTTTTATATTATAAATCGGGAAGTGCGTCCGACATACGTCTATTGGAATCGAATTGAACTGTCACGATAGAAAATCCAATTACAATGTGAATGAGCTCAAGAGTACAGCACTTCCAAATAAACCTGTTACCAATTGACTACAGTCAAATGATGTTTTCTACCGACACTTCTTACAACTTAGTATGTCACAGCTCATCACACAGACTCTTTGTTGCTAACCTAAGTACTTCACCATTTATAAAATAACGGCATCAGCTGGCCAATGAGTGCTTACTTAGTAGGAACCCCCTAACTACCCCTTACACTTATGTTTCCAGTTTCATGCTGAGATCGCTATTCAGCCAAGATAACCTGAAATATATTTAATCAGCCGCTTGCGGGATGATATAGATGTTGGTATTTGAGGAATAGATCGAAAATTAACAATACATTTGTTAAAGTGTTTAACGGACTTCACTCTTCTTGCCGCACCTTCAGCTTTAACGTACAGATATCCATCTGACTTCAAGTTTGCTTCAATATTTCGAACTGCATCATCCCATATACATGTCACAACTATTTGTTCTTAACTGCTGTACTACCACACTTGAAGACTCTCTTACTACGGTTTATTTTAATTTTCGTGGCCCGTATGAGTTTTGTCTACTGACTTATCATTTACCTTGTATACTCCACTACGAATAGTTAAACAATATTCTGGACATATATTCGATAGCCTTGCTGTTTTTTGTCCTCTTCTCCCTTGTTTCTTTCCGGAACATTACCAGCAGTGAACAAATTTGGTGCTTCTTCAACGGAAAATACACTGGACGTACACGCTTGGTAAAGTCACAGATTAGATCGAGCGCTCATCGACAACCTCTAAAAAATATGTACTCACAAATCTGTTCCGTCATACATACACTGCAAGTGAATTTCCTTAAACAGGTCTCATGAGCCACTCCTGAATTATGATAACCACCCGAGAACTCTGCATTTGATAAAAAAATGTAACGCAGTAAAAATTATAATTACGGGTGTTTTTTTTTACAGATTTTATTCTTCTTGCTGAACTTTCGATTGTGTTGACTAACCACTGCATTGTCTACTTCACCATGAAATGTTAAGCGATGCTCTTGTTATATACATACAATTACCTCATTGCTTTTTTTCTCTTTTTTGTCCCTTTTTAGAACCCTATCCTTAGTGAAATACCCATGATGCTACCATGCTAACTTCACCTTCTGCACGTGTACTTCTAGGTCACAGTTTGCCTTCCACCTTCCACCTCCCAATAAATTCACTCAAGAATTATTCCAAGCACCCAATAAATACACTGTGTACTTTTCCTACCTGTACTCACTAATTGAAAATGTGGTTGTATCAGACTGTTTCTGTCGGTGACATGGTCTAAATGTGCTATCAGAAACAAACTCTTATTCCTAATCTAACTTCGCTAACTTTTACAGTTAATGTAGTAGCCTTTGCAGCAATTTGATCTAGCCTCTAAATTGGCATGTTACTTGCAATAGGCTGTTATTTGAAAATAAATATATTATTATTACCATTAAAGCGTCTGAAACTCTCGGCAGACCAGAAGGATGTAGTATTTAGGACAGTATCTAAAAGTGAAGGTATAGTCTTAGTCAATCTCCCAGCTAGAATAACTAGTAAAGTATTGGAAAAGATCATTTGGGCTGCTATTCTAAGTTTTGAGGGGGAGGGGGATACAAATGGCTTTAGAAAAATTTTCTCATGCTTGACCACTATCACTTCAAGAAAACACTGAACTACGAAAAAAGGTTGAAATATCTCAGTAGTTGCACCCATTTTAGATTTGGGTAAAGCCTGTTATGACGTTTATCACCTAGGTGTTTAATCAAAATGGGAAAAATTTGGAAGCACCTATTAGGTTAAAAATCAGATAAGCAGCAGATTCAGTGATAGTTGTAAGTTACAATGAATTACATTTTACCGTTGTGGGAATCTGTAAGCGATATTGTCCCCCAAGAGATAATCCGAAGACATCTATTTTACTCTATTTAGAGTATCTATCGTGATTTGCGAAGTATACTTTTCAATGTTAACTTTGGGAGTTAGAGAATATCTTTGGGGGCTCTCGTATTAAAGGTCGTTTCGAACAACAAGTCTGTTAAGAAGCATATACCAGTGACATTTATTTCATAAAGATTTGAGTTATTTAGAAAACTATGAATGACATTAAGGACATTGATACACCTGAATGAAGATTATGTCGTGTAGTTTTAGTGACTACGTTTTTTCAATGATCACACCTATACAGCATTCCATCTACAAAGATATTTTGTAAATTTCTGATCATGGCTGTAGAAATAGTCTAATAGTATAGTATCAGAAATAAACAATTTTTAAACTTTTGTCTGGTGCTTAGGATACCAATTTTGGGATAAGAGATTCAAGCAAGTAAGTTATGAGGAACTTTTAAAACAGAGATCAGACAGTAAACATACAACGTTGTGTTTTTGAATCTAACTGAGAATTACTGAAATCATATATCGGGGCAAGTAATTTCCTTTTCTGTCATTATATTCAGAGCAAGGTTTTCATTGTACTACAAGTCACGTGTTTCTTGGTCTCTCATCACTATTTCTGCAGACGGAAGACCGCTATTCACAGATTTAAACATAAGTATTGTACTTTGAGAGTCTGACCTTCAACAAAGTCAAATGTAAGGTTACACAGCCCAATTGTTTAGTTGTTGGTCTTATGCTGTGTACTTCATGGAATCAGTTAATTTTAAGCCATTTTATGGCACAGAAGCACGAACCAAGGCAGTTGAATGCATTTTAGAGCCACTTTTCACAAAAGTAAAGTGTTTTGCAAGAAGAGGTCACATAAAAGGATCTTATCGTCTAAAGTCTAAACCGCAGGATGACATTTTGTCTAGTATCAAAGAGGTAATATTTAGTTCTACTTGTTGATTTCAATCCACAGGTTATGCAGTTGCTGAATAATGATTTTAGTGTTGTACAGAGTGACCCTTCCTTATCGTCAGATTTTGTAACTGCTAAAACAGATGTTCTTGATACTGGGCAGTATTTTTGTTCTTCAGTTTCCAACTTTTTGTCTGATCCTGTAAGTGAGCCAAGTCAAAGTGGTGTTTATCGAGCTGTCAGTGCCTTTTTGGCTGCACTGAGTAGACTACTTATATTGGCTGATATAGCAGATTCTTTGGTTCTTAACCAACAGTTCGAAGCTGTCCTCAGTGGTATTACGGAGTTCCAGTCAGTATTGTCACATAGGGTATGTTCTGTGTGTTGCCTAGCTTTTTCACATGTTATTTCATCGAATTCAAAACCATGTTCTTTTATGGTTTATGTTGTAGCTTTTATATCTTTTACACTTTCCCCCCTCTAGTGTACCTTTCAACTATATACTGAGGATTTTTAAAACTTTCCTAGCTAGAATATCTTAGCTTCGACAGCCTATACTTTTTAAAGCAAGGGATCGCTAATATCTCTATGTAGAGATTTAAATGCAGATTGTAAGAGCGGAAATACAAATCTGGAAGCATCAACTTCATGCTAAGCCCTTTGCACCAAAGTTTCATTCAGGAAACTAAGTAGCGTTCTTATCTTTTTATAGCGCCCTTAGTTTCACTTCAACGTAATAGAAAAATATTACTGATACATAAACATATAGTCAGAGGGGTGAGTGTTAAACATCATTACATGTTTCTTGTAAACGTACAAGGTGAAACGTCACTTTTTGTATGAACCCACGAGTCAACCTCCGCCGATCGTGTATGTTACTAGTATACTCGTTTTTGAAATGTAAGGAGAGGAGCTGGGGTTATAGATTTCTTGGTGAATCTGACAAGGATTGTTGATGGTCTCATGTACCTGGGTGCATGACTGAAAATCTAAGCTACAAGTGATTAGGGCTAGTTACACATAGTTTCTATGTAAATGAATTTCTTAGTGGCAGATCCATACTTCATAGTCTTTACTATATGCCGAGAAATCACAGGGGATGCAAGGAGACTTTTTACACTCATAGTTTCATAACCTATTCTCTATAAAACAGCATCACTGGAAACGTTTCACTGATTATTTGATTATCATATTAGTGGTCTCTTAAAGCTGTCCTCTTTTGCGTTTATATATATACCATCGTCAAATTGCGTTAATTATAGACATATATTTCTAGTGTTTTTTAATATATGACTTTTAGGAACTAAGTCGCCTGTGGAATACCTTCTACCCTCATGTATTAAAACTTATCAGCTTGTCAAAGAAACGTGCGTCTGATCTAATTGACCCTGAAGATCGAAGGAAAATTGAGTCTTCCAACTACGTACTCAAAAATAATACACCTTTATTATATGCATCTTGTAAGGTAAGCTTTATTTATCATAATGAGTGTTTGAAAGTTAAATGAATATCAAAACAAGAACAGGTATTTACTATCATAAAAACCATTGGGAATTGACATTGGGAATTCCAAGTTAGAGCTTGGCTTGTAACGCAGCTAGGTGCTTTTCTCAATATTCCCTATCCACTTCCGACGCTTTTCCCTGACTTCCTCCTCAGCTGGAACCTGGTTTATTCTCTACCCTGGCAGGTTGTCGCCGATGGTGTTTGGCCAACGGATCCGAAGTATTTTGCTTAAACAACTGTCAATAAGCACTTATATCCTCTGGATGATGGTTTTCGCGGTTCTCCAACTTTCCGTCTCATACAGTAGAACTGTTTTGAAGTTTTTATTGGAAATTGTGACTTCGGTTTTGGTTGATAGTTTTTTTGAGTTCCAGATGTTCTTCAGTTGCAGGAACGCTTCCCTTGCTTTTCCGACCCACACCTCCACATCTGCATCAGATCCACCTTGTTTATCGATGATACTGACCAGATACTTAAAGTTTTCTACATCTTCCAAAGCTTCACTATCTAATATAACTTGGTTAGTGTATGTTGTGTTGTACCGGTGAATTTCGCTTTTCACTTTTTGTATGTTGAGCCTTACTGCTGCTACACTGGTCGTCTTCTCTTGCATTTGTTGTTGCGTGTGCGATAGAAGAGCCAGAATATCTGCAAAGCCCAGATCGTCCGACTGCATCCGAGCTGTCCATCGTATCCGGCGATTCTCTCCAGATTTTGACGTCTTCATAATCCAGTCGATCACCAGGAGAGAGAGAAAGTTTGAGAGTAAACTATCTTCCCTGACACCGGTCTTCACCTCGAACGAGTCTTTCAGCTGTGCTTCATGCACGAATTTGCAGTTTAATCCATCATAAGAATTCCGTATGATGTTGACTATCTCTTTAGGCACGCCATAGTTTCGAAGAAGTCTCCGTGTTGTCGTTTCCACACTATCAAGTACTTTCTCATAGTCAATGAACTTGAAGGAGAGTGATGGGTTCCATCCAATTGCTTGTTCCACAGTGATCCGTAATGTTGCAAATAGGTTGGTACACGATCGATCATTAAGAAATCCAGCCTGTTGGTCTCGAAGTTGGGCGTCTACGAAATCCTTCATTCTGTTTAACAATACCCTGTTGAAGACTGCCTGTTATTGAGAGAAGAGTGGTGGTTCTATGGTTATCACATGTGTTGAGATCGCCTTTCTTCGGTATCTTGATCAGGTATCCTTTCTTTCAATCTGTTGGTACTTGTTCATACCAAATCTGGTATGGTAGATCTGTATGTGCTGCTTCGGCCTTACCCACCTGTTACGCTGTTCTTTAATGTGGGTGATTGATTTGCCTTCCTTGCCTTTCGCTGGTCGTTCTGGTTTGTGATAATATTCAGCGAGCTTCCTTGTTGTATCATACAGTTGTCTCACGTTCCCTTCTCTTGCAGCCTTTTCTGCTGTCCTCGTTAGTACTTCCACATATTTATATTTGTCGGCTCTGATGTTTCTCTTCAGTTTCCTGTTTGCTTCTGTGTAATCAGCTTGTGCCGTGGCTTTCTTTGCTCTTATTCGGCTGATATTGATTGCTGCCTTCTTGTTCCTCCTCTCTTGAATCTTATCCACATTGTCAAAAGGAATCTATTCCTTGTGATGGTGCTTCTTGTGGTCAAGAAACTCCCGACAATTTGAAGCGGTTGCCCCTTTGATCCCTTTCCATTTGTTCTCCGTCGTCGCGAAAGGCCAGGAACTTATTGTTGAGGTTCCCAGTATCTCGAAGAAACGCCGTATTAAACTTTTGTGATGTTTTCCGCTCCGTTGTCCAGTGCTTCTTGAGTTTCAGTTGCATCTTGGTGACCAGCAAGTAGTGATCTGGGGCTATATCAACTCACTATAGACTGGAGATGTTAAATTAATTGGGGTTAATAATTCAATAAATATCCTACTAGAGGTGTCTAGATAGTTCTGTCAAACCTTCAGATACATAATGTATCTTTTATGAGCTTTCACCACATTGAACAAGCATTGTTTTGGTGAATAAGCAAACTTGAAAGTTTTTTCATCTTTTTGCCCCAGCAGTAGAGATTTTCTTTTAAATTATACTTTACCAATACAAGCGACTTTTTGATGTTCGGAAAAACTTGATCCTGTTTTATATTTTTAGGTATGTTTACGCTATCCTGATCATTCGATTCCAAGAGATTCTCGAACGTTTGTCTCGAATTCACTATCGGATGCAGTGGAATCAATTCAATCAGTGTTCAATGGAATTCCAAAATCCAATGGTATTCGATTACGAACTTCTGGAAAACTTTTAGAAGCTTTAGATGAATTTGAAGTAATATTATACATTTTTAATTGGTAACAAAAAAAAACGAACTGATTATGTTACTGGGGAAAAAAAATAAAAACATTTCAGTGAATAATGAGTCAAAAAATATTGTTGATAAGACAAATTCTTTTCACTGAATCGTTTTTATTTTTCTCCAGTGATGGTGTTTTATGCATTTTAAGTAACTCATTGTGATTTTAGAGGACAGTTTACTTTTTACGCGTTAAATAACCATTTATTCTAATGGTGTATATCTTTGCAACTATTTTTTAATTTCTCAAACTGTCAGTAAGCTAAGCTTGTATTCATAGTTATTTGAAGGAGAAGGAAGAGGTTTTCAATTACTTGATTAGACGAAATTTTCAATTGTTAAAATTAATGTATGGAATGATGGTCGATAGAAAAACGCAATGATGCTGTTGCTTAATAATGGCTAGGAAGTAACATCTGCCTTCATACCCTTTAAAGCGTACGAGACCGAATCGGTCACAATCAAATCCTTTCTACACCCTCTAATAACTCTCTTATCTCTACGACCAACCCTTCTTTCTATCGTTTGTCATCTTGCACCGCTGAAGCAAACGGTTTGAGCTCACGAAACGCTATTCCTGGTCTCTTGAAACCCGGCTCCAAACTACATATTAGAGCTTATAATGTTAGAGACTGTGTATTTGACTTTGGCCCCAAATTATTAGAAACCAAAGACAAGACCAGTAGTAAGACAAATGGTTTTCCATGTAATTAATTAACGTGCTTATATGGAAAATATAAACACAAGACAAGCATGGTAAAATGTCATAGATAGTTGGAGGAAATTATCATGTAGGTTACTCATTCTCCAATCAATTAAGATCTAACTGTTAGACTTCATCTTTGGGTATCGTATTAGTTTCCTACTACTACTATTATATATTTATATATATATACTCTAATTTATTTATCAAATACAAGTTTAAGTAGTCAACTCTAAGCCACTATTATCATGTGGTTTCATGATATACTACCTGATTACAGAGACCAAAATAAATGACATAAAGTTGGGCCCTGTAACCTACTGGTTGAAAGTCAAATACCTTCACTACTAAACCTCACTCCTTCTTGACAAGTTGATTCAAATACCACTTTAGATAAATATGTTCTCAAAATTAATCAATCTATGTCGATTTTACTCAATAGTTTTAACTTAATAGCCTAAATTTCATTAAAGGTGAGTTTAAAGCTTTTCATAAGGCTGACAGTACACTTTTGATCTAAGCTATAACAATTTCATAATATGCATTCCAGTACTAAAAGCTTTGAAATATTGTCTTTTGGTTTCGACCTAGTAAGTTGTATCGCTTCTATGGTCATAATATATCACTTTGTTCACCATAATTAAATAATCGCATTCTCATGTTGAACATGTGTTACGTTTATTTTCGTAATTTCTAAAAACCTCAACCTATCCTCTCTCTTTATCTAGAGACTAGGCAAATATTTTAAAATAGGGCACTTGTTTTCTCATGATTTTAGCTTTGTTTTGTTTTTTCATTTTTAGAAAATAAATTCTCATAATGATTGGCATTACTTTTTTTCTCTCTTCAGAATAGTTTATTTACTAATCCGAATCAAAAGCCAACTGTACACATACAAGAACATATTCAGTCTTCTTTAAATAGATTATTATCATCAGTTTATAAATTGGTGGATTCATCGAAAATCAATTCAAAACGACGTTCTGCTATTGATGACTATTGTACTCAACTTAAAAATATTACATTTGAATTAATATCAGAATATTCTAAAAAAGTAAGTATTTATTGGTAAATACACTTTCAGTCTTTATATGCAAAGTGTGTACATCCATAGAATATCTATGTTACTTACATTAAAAGTTAGAATAGTCTTATAATTTGAATAGCTGTAATATGAGTTGTCATTAATTTATCATGATTGCAAGATCCAGATTGATATGCTCGTCAACTGATGTGCTTGAATGCTATTACGAGCTCACCTTACTCGGTAAACAGAGCGCAGATAAATGATGCAGTAACACGATAAGCTATTCTAATTCGATTGTCCCAGGCCCCACTAACAAAAGCAAGAAGTCTTGATAAGGCGTAGAGAGTGTATTTTACAAGCACCCAGAAGATACGAGGTGCCTAAGCACATAAATCAAGCTTATTTATAAAATGATAGCAACGCCCTTGGGAGAGCTACAAAACAGTGTACTGAAAAAGTCCGCAAACCAATGACAGTCAGGGATTTCCGAGTGGGAAATGTAAGCTGAAGGTCAACTAAGCGTCTTGTTCGCGAAAATATAAAAAGTTCGAAATTTCAGTAAGAAATTACAAAATTAGGACCTTTTCCAGGTGAGTTCTAGGGATCTAACGTCCCCAACACAGATACAAACGCTTATCAATTTAACTTGTCAAAAATTATATCAGCACAGTATTCTGTATCTTAGTTATGTTATTTGGTTCGAAAATAAATTTAAGTAATTTTTAATGGAAAGCTCATAACCTGTTGTTAGTGGGACATAGATTGGATTAAAGCATGATTGCGTTGCTCTTTCGTATCCAATCAGCGCCAGTCAATACTGAGGGAACGTTCTAGAATATCATGTAAGAAAACTAACGTCTTTTTCCTGTGGACTTTCTGTCTTCCTTCTAACCTTGTTGGAATATAATCCATTTCCTGTTCAACCGTGTTCTGATTTTGGAGAATACCTCGAGTGAACTGGTGTCCGAGAATACTAAGCATTAGGAATAGCTAGGTTGTAATGAAGTGAGAATCATAACTCCTATTTAATTGGATTAATTGTAAGGGAAGTAATAACGCTTCCATAAATAGTATTACTCTACACATATCGTGAATTGATTGATGGTAATTGTTAGGTTTGTCAGTAGGTACGCTTGAAGCTATTACGAGTTTACCTTAGTTGATAAACGCGAACGAGACAATGAACCAGCGTCCAGGTAGGCTATCTTGATCCGAAAACGGCAAAACAGAAGTCTTGATAAGCGTAGAAAGTATATTCTACAAACACCCAGCAAGCACAATACAATCAAGCACACGACTCGTTTATTTATACATCATAGAAACGTCCTTAGGACAGTCACAAAAATAGCACACTAAAATACACAGCAGCCAATCACAGCCAAGGATTTTCTTGGTGGGAAATGGAATCTCAAGGTCAACTGATCAGCCCATGCTGGAAAACGTGAAATCCAAAATAAGGCATTTATCAAGCGAGTTCTGGAGATCTAACATCCTCAACCGTAATAATATATAGCATAGAGTTCCTACTCAGTAATCAAATTAAATCATATATACCCTCTACAAAACGTGTATTCAATTTTATGTAGGGTTTTAGGTTCCGCTTACTAAAGGGGTACTCTTAAAACCAGAACAAAAATAAATTTCCCCTAATGTTTCACGTTTTTCAATGATTTCGTATTGATTTTAGCTGTATGCGAAAATTCGAATTCTTATTCTATTTCTATTCAGTAGAATATATAAGATTAGTAGTAGGTGTTTTTAAACAAACTCTTACAATTTATATAGTGTTTATAGATAATCAACGAGATTTCGTAAGATTTCATGCTAGTTGGCATTCACTAGCAAGGGAAGTACTCAATCTTAGACGAACTGATGGTTACCATATGTTTTCAACCAGTAACATTCATGTAACATCAAGTGAATTGCATTGATATTTCAAGTTACTTTGTATTGAGTTATAGGACTGCTAATCGATCTCTAGAATTTGATTAGGATTATAAGGACTACATAAAATGATGTTAGTTACCAGTCAGTTTGTTTGTAAGTCAGTCAGTCAGTCAGATGCAACGTAGAACTTCGTACGTAAGTACATCAGTTCATGTCACCATACCACATCAGCACTGAGATGATTCAGTGGGAAAAGTTGACAAAGTTGAAGAACCCAGAAGATTAGGATTTGAGAGAACACAAAGAATAAATGCACTGACCGTTTTGAGCCATGTCATTCAGGGTCTCTAACCATCGACTATTACCATCTCGCGCACCCCAACCAGGTAGTCAACAACTACCGACATGACTCAGTCCACTTGTCAGTGACTTCATGGATTTCTGCCATGTTTTGGTTTGGCCAGTTTGTTTGTAAACTCTACAGCTAACATAAAATCTCTACGCTATCTGGATGAACGTTAAAAATGTCTCGATCAAGATTTGACATCACTTGATAAAGTCATTTAGTGTTTAACTGTAAGCAGCCATTTAAGAAGGTTCTAGGCTATCCCATGGAAAGTTCAAGCGATAATCAATAATCCTCCTGATTTAAGGCTTGTAATGTAATTGTTTTCAATGCCGTAAATTGAATCATTGTTTATATTCTGCTAGATCAACACCTTAGTCGCTGTTTTTTGAACCAAACTCCTACACCTGAACTTTCTTACTGTCATCGATACTACTCATTGATCCGGTTCTCATACTTTTTATTTCCTAACAATTTCCATCTCTTATTGTACTGATCATGAAATATATATATGACAACTTTGGATTATTGCAAACCTATGCCACATGACGCTTTACTGTTTATGACTAAAAATCTATGCTCTGATGAAAAGGCAATAACAGCTGTCTGAATAATAAACCAGTTCGTTCACAAAATCAACCACTCACTATATAATATCCGACACCTAATGATGATATTTTTATGGGTATCGCATTCAATTTGTAAATGATACTTTTATGTAGATAGAAACATGTTTTTTCCCCCAATTTATTCCTTTTTTCATTATTATTATTATTATTATTATTATTATTATTATTATTATTATTATTATTATTATTATTTAGACAGTTGACACTGGAGAAATAGAAAAAATTATACAGAAATTATTAAAAATTATCAATGCATTGAAACAATTACTTATTCGTTGTACCATTGATTCTACATCGAATGTTTTTATGGCAAAAGAAACTTGTCTAATGGCATTGAGTGATGCAACCAAATTTGGTTGTGATCAACGAATTGATTCGGCTTGTCAATCATTTCAAGTAAATCATATTGATAATTTATTTTGTAATTTGTTTTTTATTTCTCTTTCTAAAGAGTAATCATTGTCAAATTATATATATTATTATAGTTGGTTTTTTGCTCTTTATGTCTATGACGCAGGCGAGATATCCGATTGCTAACCAAAGGATGAGTGTACTGCTCAGCAGTGCGTTCTGTCCTACTATACGGATGCGAAACATGGCCGGTGAGAGTAGAGGACATTTGTAGATTGCTTGTCTTCGATCATCGATGTCTCTGAAGCATTGCTCGTATATCCTGCCACAACCGAGTGAGTAATGCTGTCGTCAGGAAACGAGTTCTAGGTAAGGATGGCAGATCAGTAGATGAAGTATTGAGACTTGATCAGTTGAGGTGGTTGGGACATGTGCTGCGTATGCCTAACCACCGACTGCCGCGACGAGCTATGTTTTGTAGTGTAGGAGTAGGTTGGAAGAAAGTTAGGGGCGGCCAAACCAAAACATGGCAGAAATGCATCAAGTCACTGGCAAGTGGACTGAGCCATGTTAGTAGGTGGTTGGGGTCCGCGAGACGAAAGTCACCAATGGTTAGATACCTTGAACGACATGGCTAAAAATCGTTTGCGATGGCGCAGGTGCATTCATTCACTGCGTCCTCTCAAATTCTAGTTTTCAGAATTCCTCATCATCTCTACCTTTCTCTTTGTAAATATATCTCACTGAATTATACTGCTCTCCGATTACTTCTAATACTTCTAGTATCGCTACTACTATGTGATTTAAACTGATAGTTGCGTCTCTGTACTGACGTAGTATGGCAACCTGAACTGAGGTATGTACGTACGAAGTTCTGTGTTGTATCTGTCTGTCTGTCTTGTTAAATCGGCGGATGAGTAAGTAGTCGTCAAAATATATTGTTTTTATTTAATAGGTGATACAATCAAACTATACTAATTCAGTCAGTCAACAACAACATAGAACTTCGTACGTACGTACAACAGTTCAAGTTGCCATACCTCATTAGCACAGAGATGCATTTGTCTCTTCAAATTCCATAATGGTAGAGGTAGTAGAATTATTATCAGTAATCGGAGATTTTAGGGTTAGACGATATTATTCAAGAACTAGAATCGAGTAAAATGAACCTAAAAAGAAAAAGATAAAGGTGATGAACAACTCCGAAGGTTAAGATTTGAAAGAGCACAAAGAATGAATGCACATGCGCCATTGTAAACAATCTTGAGCCATGTCATTCAGGGTCTCTAACCATCGATTACTATCAGCTGCCTGTAGACCCTCCGGGGCTACTGCTGGTCCCAAGCCCGGATAAAGGGGATTGGGTTGGGCTTGGGGTTGGCGACCCCATCCCTCGAAAAACAAACTCGCTAAGAAAACGCTAACAACAGCAAATAGTTCTAACCATTTAAACTCTTCTCTGGGAGTTAGCAGATCTTCATTCAGAAGAGTTATGACGTCTCATAATGAAAGCCGAGCTCCTCCAGAAGTCACGGGGCCGATTCCCCTTCCACGTCGTGGGCAGCCGAGAAGTAACATCCGCCCTCATTCCCATATTAATTCATTGCTTATGTAGATTCGTTCAGTCGAGTGGGGGCGTGATTGAACCTACAAATAGTGGGACTGAGAATTGTACCTATTAAGTTCATTATATTATATTTAATGATTACTGAATTGTTTATACTGAGTTTGGTAAAAATTAAAACATTGCTGTTAATAGAGTTGTTTGGAGAGATATAACTGTTACTATTAATACTATTTCTGAGATTTTAGCTTCAATAATACTTCGATACCTAACTAGAGTTCGTGAAGAACAAAGACAAGAAAATCAGGCTGGTTTTAAACCTGAAGATGGACGTAAAGACTAGGTATTCACACTTAGTCAGGTCCTAGAACGTAGGCACACATTCACATGCCCGACAATAGTTGTATTCCTCGATCTCAGGGCGTCCTTCAGTCAGCTACAACGTAGAACTTCGTACGTACATACATCAGCTTAGGTTGCCATACCACATTAGCACGGAGACGTAATTGTTAATTCAAATTCCATAGTAGTAGAAATATTGGCGGTAATGTAGAAGATTAGCCTTACGGCGTCGTTTGACCTTGCCGATTGTGAGGTTCTATGGCAGTTCCTATCATTGAAAGGAGTATCAAACAAACACATTATCCTAATACAGGCTATTTACTCGAACACTACAGGTCGAGTTAGAGCTTATCGCAAACTGTCATCGGAATTCATTACTTCAAGTTGTGACCGTCAAGGATGTTCATTTCCTCCACTCTTGTTTAGTTTTGTCATAGACATGCTTCTAGATATTATATTATCTTCGTCTAGATTTCTAGGGGTGGACCTTCTATCAGGAGATTCACTGGTTGACTTAGAATATGCCGATCACATAGTTCTACTTAGTGAAGACGCTGAAAAATGCAGAGTCTTCTGACCACCTTAAGAAACAATGTAAGCATGTTCAGGATGCGATTCCCCCCTACTTAGGATTGGGTTTCATCGGCACCTGAACTAGTGATATGGAGTAAAGTAGTCGGGCGTGTAGACCGCTTCATTTATCTTGGGAGTCTCATCACTTCTGATCGCCTGGTGTCTGATGAAATCTCGGCATAGATAAAAATGGCTCGACTGGCTTTTGCCGACTTGCATAACTTATGGCGTAGGCGAGATATCTGTCTGCTAACCAAAGGACGGGTTTACTGTACAGCAGTTCGCTCCTTCCTACTTTATGGGTTTAAAACATGGCCAGTGAAAGTGGAGCATTTTCATTGGCTACTAGTATTCGATCATCGATCTCTTCGAAGTGTTGTCTTCTCTCAGATCATAGTATTCTGAATTCCTCATGTATGTAATGCTGGAGCTAGAAAAAGAATGCATCCATTCGTATATCTTGTCTCAGATTCTAGTATTCTGAATTCCTCATAACCTGTTTTCTCCTTGTAAATTTATTTCACTGGATTATACTTCTCGAATCGTATCGTCGAATCCTGGTCGTCTTCTTTACCGCTGATTTTCGAACAACTTGAACTGAGTACATATGTGTCAAGTTCTACATTGTAGCTGACTGACTGACTGATTGACCCATTCTACAATTTTGTAATGGTTTAATACTTCACGAAATATTTGGCGAAAAAGGATTGCTAATTCTTTTCTCTTAACATTTTATTCAATTCTTTACATTTTTTTCTTAAATTTTATTTATACCATACAGAAACAATCTGTATCTATGATAACATCGGCTTATCAATTATGTTCATTGAGTACAGATGAAGAATGTTGCAGTAAAATTCAATTAGCTTGTCAACAAATTGAACAACTTGTTCCACAAGTGATTAATATGGCTTATTTACTATTTAAATATCCATCGTCTAAGGTAAATTGTAAATAAATAAATATAAAATAAGTGAAATTCATTAATATTGGTTCTTGTGATGTGATTTTATTTTATTTGATCTGTTGATTATACTCTTGATATATATGTATATTTGCATTACGGGCGTTTCGTCCTGGTATGGGACTCCTCAGCAGTGCTCATCCACGACTCCAGCACCTTGCAGGATTTGAACCCAGGACCTTCGGTACTGTGCGCGAACGCCCTAACCGTTAGAGCACTGAGCCGGTATCTAACGGTGTTAATGTCTAAATTGATCAATTCACGGAGTTGCGCAACCTCATACACAGTCTTCGGTAGACACTGCCTACACCCGAACAGGTTGAACCTCACTGGTCACGTCTTCCCACTAGAACTCGGAGAAGATTCCTCACGAAGCTAGTCACTAGTGCTAGTCCAGTGCTTCCAGGTTTCTAATGGTGGTCTAACATTGATCGATTCATGGTTTCAAAAAATTTATGTACATATAAGAGATATTATATGCGTCAAGTTCAATCCAAACTAGCAGTTATTTCAATACATAAATTCAGGTTATCAAAATCAGAGATTGTTAGAAAGTTTCAATGATTACTGGTTGTAGAGAGTTGATCGATGGGATTCCTTGAATCTAGTTTTTGGTTCTTCAACTATCTTCTGGCATCGAGATAGCGTGCATGTTATGTTAAGTCACTTTGACCAGTTGTCACAATGTAATCTGATTTATTGAATATTTGAATCAACACTAGTAACCAGACGAACATGACATTGATCACTATTATCTACTAGAAAGTCATTTACCGATTATGATGATTATTATTATTAGCATGATTATAACATAAGCCGCATTACGGGGTTGTGAAGATCGAAATCATGAATTGATCAATTTTAGACCACCATCAGAAACCTGGAAACACTGGACTGCCGTTTCGTCCTGGTGTGGGACTCATCAGTGGCAGTGCGCATCCACGACTCCTGCACCCTGCAGGATTCGAACCCAGGACCTTCGGTCTTGCGCGCAAACTATATTGTTACAAACTAAAATTCTCTTATAACATAGACAGACAGTGGCTATTCACGGCATGGTGTCGTTCACAGTTTTTAGAAATGTGTTCTATCGCTTGTTGGAAATAATACACCAAGAGGTTGAATCCCCGCTAGCTTTGAATTCTCTAAATTAAACCAAAAACCTAATTGGTTTATGCTAACGAAGACATTCATGCTAACAAACCCAAATGGTCTCTGAATAAAGACTAGAAAATCAGCTGGAAAGCCGAATAACAAGGACACTGGGAAGAAAACACACCATTTCAGAAGCTATGAGCCTATCATCCCAAATGGAAAAGTGGAAGGTTATCACTGAAAATTTTAATTACTTATAATCGATGTAAACCTCGAAATAGTACACTGGTTATCACGTTCAATACAATAAATAAATTGATATATAATGCAAAAGATTCTAAGTACAAATCCTGATGTGAATATCGAAACTGGGATTCAAGTTCGTCTCCAGTTAACACTAACTATGCGTCCTTGATCCCAGTGTTAGCCAAAGTTCATCAATTCTCCAGATACTACTCTCTGTGTTATCAAGTAAATTTATGTTCTCATCAAATATGATCAATTTATAATGTGTATATCTCTATTCATTTCCAAATTACTCGATACAGCGTTGTTTTTAACCAAAATATTCACATATTTGATGAAGATTTTATTGTTAAAATTAACCTGTATCTTGTTACGTATATCTCAATGAGCCATTTCGATAATATTATCGATGAAACTGGTAAACAAAACACCTGACTTTTTTTTCTCTATTGGCTTGAAGTTTCATCTGTTTCGGTCTTATTGTGAATCCATTCCTTCTATAAACCCGAGTTGAATATGTTCAATTAGTAGGATCACCAAAATTATTTGGATTCATTAATGTTAAGTTTATTGTTGTGTCTATTAAGTATGTACTGGCGTTGATTAACAACCTACATCATTTCTTGTTATCTGTAAATTACAGGACTACAATGTACAACAAATGAGAAATCACAATCTGTGCATACATAACTAGAAAGATATTTTGTTAATGAGTTCGGGTGAAAGCTTATACAATTAGGATAAAATAAAAATTATATAAACCAAATGTTTAGTTAAATATAATAATTCATTGAAGAAAAGTTTTCAAAATCTTGACTAATTTGAATAACTAATATCATTACTTATCATCTAATGAGAAGCCATAATTAGTGGAGTTCAAGCATGTTGATTATGAACCAGTTACTCCAGCAAAGACTATGGGTGATGCTCACGTATTATTGTGGATTGATTGAAGTTAAATAGTAACACTGTCGGATACCAGCTCAGTGATTAAGAGGTTAAGGAATCGCGCGTGGGATCAAAAATCCTGGTTTCGATTCTCGCTATCCGGGGTCTTAAATGTACCCTGCCGAAAAATTTTATACTAGAACGAAACGGCTGTCCAACTCCTCCAAGTTTCCAATGGTGGTTTAACATTGATCGGTTCATGATTTCAATAATCGGTACATCTCTAAAAAGTACATTACTCAATAAACTTACACTCATTTACGTATTAACTTGTATCTAAAGTAGTTTTAAATATCTCACATTATTTATTTTGCTCAAACTAATCAATCTAATCTCAAAATAATTCTTTTGTTTTTCCATTTTATTTTAAACAGTCTATCGAATCAAATTATGAAGCATTTCGTAAAGTATATGAAGAATCAGTGAATTTATTATATTCATGTGTAAATGAATTAATCGGTATGCATGATTTCTTAGCTGTCTCAGATGATTTAATGTTATTGGAATATCAAAAATCTATACGTGCTTTATCAGTAAGTATTAGTTTTTGATTCTCTCGTCCCTTTTTTATTTTTTAAAAAAAAAACCATTGCTTAATGAGTTTGATTTTAACAGTGATGTAGGAATATCAAAAAATAACTAATTCATTAGACTATTGTGGTGCGCGCTACTTATAAGTAGTATATGACGCGAATAAAAACGTAATGTCTGGCAGCAGAAGATGGGGGAAGATCAAGAAAGGAAGAGTGGGAACACAATGTAATTTGTATGAAACGCATGAATAGTGAAATGTTAGACAACGGAGATGATGAATTGGATTGAAGATTTGCAAATTAACGGTTACGATATGGTTTTCCTATTTTACTGAGTAACTCTGTAATTTTCGTTTAATACGATTCGGTTGCCCTCACCTGTGTACTCCTTCACTACACTATGACTGCTACCACTTCATCAGTTTATCGGTCTTGACTCAGTTCAGAGATATATTAGCCAAAAAAGTTTGTTCCTTAAGGCCTTATCATGTTACGCGTAGGATAGATGAGGTCCAAATGTCGTAAGATCAAAAAAAGCAAGTTTCTACTACTGGTTGTACTGAGGTGTAACTAAGTACATTTCTTATGAACAACTAGTGTATCTGGAGATACTTCTTTCTTAAGAACTAAAGGAAAGGTTGAACGAGACCATTTTGAAAAATACTCTTCTCTTTAGATTACAGTATCATGCGATCAGGTTTAAAAAGTATAGGGCTTGTTGGATGAAAAAATAACTACCAATAAATGTAACTTTTGTTGCTGTGATCAAAGCATTGTCTGATAGCACTGTCAGATTGACGAGACCTCATATAGTTCTTCCGAGCAAGTTCTTTAAAGCCACAGTATCCTTTTATGGTGTTGTCAGTTGTTCACACACACGTACACACCTTTAATAAATTGAATTTGATTGAGTCTTGTCTAGTTCCATTAAATTAATGATAGCATAAAGTTGATATTACCGTATTTCATCTCTCATGACAGTGAATATAGTTAAAATTCGATTCAGTAGTTAAAATTTTGAACAATTATTTACTTTCAACTGATCTAGAAAACATGCGCATAGTTGGTTAGCAATCCTGTTTCATAATTTCATTTCATACAAATCTTGTTGTGCCAACACAGTACAACAACCTGAGTTGATATATATATATATATATATATATATATATATATATATATATATATCTGTACTAGGTTCTACATTGTTTATGACTAACTGAGAACCATAGCCCCATGATCGACTCAACGCTGTACCCAACTAGACCAAATATCTATCAACCACTGATGGGGAGGCTCAACAGAAGACTACTGCTCATTCTGAAGCAGATTCAGATCATACTCTAGTACGAGCACGTATTTATCTGCGGTTTACTGAACGTAAAAAAAGACAACAAGGAAACCCCTTAACGATGGAAAAGCCAAGAGTTTATTTCGAGAGCAACTAGAAAAAACAGACTGCCATGTAAGTGATGCCCATCCCAAGGCAGCTTGGAATGATATTCAGAAAGCTGTGGGAACAGCAGTGATATCTGCCAGTAAGGTTAGTGAGGAGTGGATTTTACTAGCAGCTGCTGAACTGATAGATGCTTGGAAACTCATCCCATCTGACTCTGAATATGACGAGGAGCGAAGTCAGCCTAAGTGCACGTCTACGCGATGTTCATGAACAGTAATAGGTAGCGAAAGCAAAAGAGATGGAAAATGCAGAGGCAATAGGTAACAGTAGACAACTGTCCAGATGTATCAAGGAAACCGGTATTAAAAATGCTATTGTTATTGAGACTATTTAGGAAAAGCATAGGACTATTTTTCATTTTTGCGAACCATTAAAAATCCATGGAACACTGGACAATTGTTTCCTTTTATTTTGAAAATTTCCATCTCAGTGCACGTTTCCTCAACCTGTATGATTTCAAACACCCAGAATCGTCAAATCTCATGAAGGACAATATATATCTTTGGACATTATCAAGTCAAAATTAAGTATTTCTAATGTTCCTAATTTCAGTTAATTCACATCATTGTGTTGATCTGTCGAGTCAGACTGGGCAGATACACATACTATTAAAAGGCTAAATAGTGGGTGCTCTATTGTAAATGAACTGAGTTATGAATAAATTACTCATTAATAAAATCTAGGTTTAATCTTTCATCGTAGCGGGGGTTGGTCAAACTATTTGAGAAAATGGTAAAACTCAACTTAACTGAATCAGATAGTTAGAACACGACTTACAACATGAATTCCAATGTCATTACAGTTATTCCATAATGAGTTGAATAATGTGTGTTTCATATTTTTAATAGATAAGCTATCAGCTTTGAGCCTTGTTCTTTGTATGAATGCTCTTACTATTCTTTGGCTGGTCAAATCCAAATTGGTGATTTGATTTTGACCAATTTGGTCTCGTGTGCTATTACGGGTATGAGGGCGGTTGTCGCTTCCCGGCTGCCCACACTGTGGAAGGTTTTTCTTGAGGAACCTGAAAAGGAAGGTAGATTAGCGTTGGTCTGAACGACCTGGGAGCGTGACCGCAGAGCCCAAGGGACAACTGCTTGAGGCCGGTCACACACGGCCTTTTTATGAAGGGCTTTTTGAGTGTTAGCTCCGCTCTTAAAGGCCCTTGGTGGGCACCCTTACCGCCGGAGACGGAAATCCGTGAGGTAGGATGAGGTGTGACATTTTTAGGGTTGACCTTTTCTAACCCTTCCTTCCTTGTGAGAAGGCAGCATCGCTGCAGATGCTGGTTATCCGAGGGGAACACCTTACTGCTGTCACACCCCTCTGCAGTAGTCAGAAGTACGACTTCGCCCTCAGACCTTGAGTAGCTGCTTTTAGTCTCATCGTTCTCCAATCGACCTGCCTGGCGTGGTAGGACCTGCAGGAACATGTGTTCCAGCCAATATAGCTCGGTTGGGTCATGACGATAGGCAAGTCCGACCACCACGTCAAGGTAGCAGCTTCGGTCGGTAAATAGGTGAAGTGGATTTCGAACTTAAAACTTATTGGCTGGATTGCTATGTGTTTTAATTACACACACACACACACACGATATATATAAGCTAGGCTAGCAATTTTCACCCATCAATTTATCTTAAGGTTACAAATTTGTGAAAGCATTTTATTCTTCTTTAAACCGTAGGTTCTTCTTCTTACGAAAAATTATTGAAATTACTTACATTTTATATGCATCGAATCATTTAAATAATCTAAAAACAAATCTATGGTGCGTTGACCCAATTTGAAAAAGCAATTAAACTGTATGGACAGCTTTATTTTTTGGAAAGAAATGTTCCGTGGTTTTTAATCGTAACATTTATGTGTGTGTGTGTGTGTGCGCGCGTGTTTATGTGAATTAATTGAGTTCAGGACATTTTGTTAACCTTATTTTATAATTGAATAAGATGCTAAATCATTGCTTTTATGATTAGTAATGAGATTCCATCATGGAGGTAGGTAGGTAATAAAACTGTTGAAGAAGGCAATAATCATTTATTCATTACAGTTTGTTTAGTGATGGTTCATTATTTAAGGGATTCAATTATCAAATTCGAAGCAGCTGGTCCGAACCCCGTCACACCTACTTCGCGTTACCACAGTTAGGGTAGTATTATGAACCGTGACCCATAGCCAAGTACACACAAATCTTCATCTGGCCTCACCGTAGCTGCTACTGACTTAGTGTTTGGGTTCTCATATCTTAATAACCCAATAGAGCTATTTTAGCTGGAACACTTATTCCTTGAGGTTCTAACACGTCAGAAAGGTTGACTGAAGAACAGTAAGACTAAAAGTTATACTGCTGACCTTAATAGTATGTGACAGCACTAAGGTGCATTTCCAAGACAACCAGGATCTTCAAAATAACTTCCTTCTTACAACAAAAGGAGGTGGGTTGGTAAAGGTCCAGTCTTGGCAATGGATACACTTCTATTGCTCCACGAATTTCCATCACTATCAATAAGGCATTTAAAGTACGGAGCTAGTAGATAAAAAAACTTCACGGAAAGGCCATATGTATATCTCCATCCTCAAGTAAGTTGTGCCATCGAACTCTGCAAATAACTCGTATAGGTCTTCAAAACCATTTGTAATTTAGTATCCTGTACAAGTACCTTACAACATAGCATTTTTCTACAATGTAAGCGACAAGATTATTCTGTACATGGATACGCACTGCTGAGGAGTCCCATACCAGGACGAAACGGCCATCCAGTGCTTCTTCCAGGTTTCTAATGGTGGTCTAACATTGATCGATTCATGGTTTCAAAAATGTGTAATGTAACAATCTTCACAACCCCATAATGCATATTCTGTACATGATAAATAAGTGAACTTAACTTCAATTTTAATTTAAACTCTAATTTGTACCTAATTTTCTTTTCTCTCATTCTCATTTGAAAAATTCAAACAAAAAAACAATTAAACAATATAAAATAAAGGATAAAGATGAATTCAGTGTTCAACAAACATCAACATCAATGCAACAACGTTCAGCTTATATTTGTGAAGTAGTATTAAATAAAATGATTGCACGAACTGAAAATACAGAATATGTTGATCAAGTCATGGAAAAAGTCACATTGATACGTGATCAAGTATGTGTTTAAGCGAGATGTGTGGTATAATTTTCATGTTACTGTGGTTTTCTCTCATTTTTATCACTTGGTCATAGATTAAACTTCAGAACCTTCAGATGATGTCGATATTTTTCTACCAATGAATTCATATTCAATAGGAATGACGTTTTGTGAACTCGCATCGTTTGTATTACCGGTGCAGTGAGATGAAGGAATGTGACTAGAGTTAGTCGTAGAGATAAGAGAGATAATAGGGGGTGTAAGAAGGATTTGGTCTCTCGTACTGTTACGGGTATGAGGGTGGTTGTCACTTCCCGGCTGCCCACATCGTGGAAGGTTGTTTCTTGACGGACCTAAAAAGGAAGATAGATTAGTGTTGGTCTTGGAGACTTGAGAGCGTGACCGCAGAGTCCAAGGGACAACTGCTTGAGGCCGGTCACACACGGCCTTTTTATGAAGGGCGTTTTGAGTGTTAGCTCCGTTCTTAAAAGCCCTTAATGGGCACCCTTACCGCCGGAGACGGAAATCCGTGAGGTAGGATGAGGTGTGACATTTTTAGGGTTGACCTTTTCTAACCCTTCCTTCCTTGTGAGAAGGCAGCATCGCTGCAGATGCTGGTTATCCGAGGGGAACACCTTACTGCTGTCACACCCCTCTTCAGTCAGTCATCAGTACGACTTCGCCCTCAGACCTTGAGTAGCTGCTTTTATTCTGATCGTTCTATAATCGACTAGCCTGGCATGGTAGGACCTTCAGGATCATATGTTCCAGCCAATATAGCTCGGTTGGGTCATGACGATAGGCAAGTCCGACCACCACGTCAAGGTAGCAGCTACGGTCTAATTTCAACCAGTTTATAGTATAACTAAAGAAGAAAAAATCACATTAATTGACCATGATTGTAGATAATTATCTCATTATGTTGACATTAGTTGAATTCGATTATTCTGCAGCTTGATTAATAGAATTTATTCAATACTAACAGTTTAGATGGCCATGATATTGCTTACTCATCTATTACCAATCATTGATAAATATTCTTTATATAGATGTGCAGATAGTTGTTTTTCATTTGAGATCATGAATCGATCATGTATATATCGATCATCTATATAGTGAATATAATAAAATGTCTTCACTAGTGACTAGCTTTGGGAGGCGATTCTCGGAGTTCTAGTGAGGAGCTGTGACTAGTGGAGTCCAACTCTGTCGGATGTAGACAGTAACTACCAAGGACAATGGGTGAGGTTGCGCAATACCTCAGATTGACCAAAGTTAGACATTAACACTGTTGAATTCGGGATCAGTGGTCCAGAGGTTAAGGTACTGAGTTCGATTCCCGCGAGTGGGAGTTGTGGTGATTCTAGGTTTCTAATGATGGTCTGACAGTGATCTATTCATGATTTCAAATGATAACTGTAAATACCTCAATTTTACAGAAGGCTAGTGACATCCAAAAAAGCTCATCGGTAACATCACAAACTGTAAGACTGATTAATCTCAATTCAAATCCATCAGCTGGCATTTGTCCGCTTCGATATTAGAGGTGTGTACCTTGCTGGTAAGCACCTATTAGCATGAAACCAATGTTTCTCAACCGATGATTCATAATATACATCGTTGTACATGAGCACATTGGTGAACAAATCTACGATTTTCATTACAGATAAATGTCAGACCACCTGGAAGCACTGAACGGCCGTTTTGTCGTGGTGTGGGACTCATCAACAGTGCGCATCCTTGACTCCCGCTACTCTCAGGATTCGGAACCATGACACTCGATCTCGCGCACGAATACTTAACCTCCAGACCGATGAGCCAGCGGCATCCAACGGGGTCTTAGGTGCACACCAGGACGAACCAGCCTTCCAGTACTTCTAGGTTTCTAATGGTGGTCTAACATTTATTGATTCATGATTTGAATGAAATATATATGGTTAATCAAACTAATTTATCCTATTTTTATTGTTCTAACTAATGTGATACTTCAAAGATGCAAATAAATTAATCTAAGAATAAATGCGGTCACTTTTATGTGTTTCAAATTAGCCAATATAGTTTACACTTAGTTAGAATGGTATAATGATTCATACAGTTAAAAGGCTTTATTTTATGTGTATGAATGTTAATTTTTCTGGTGAAGTTTTGTTCTGTGAGTCTAATGTTTTGGCTGTGTGGATTTCATTGTTCTTCGAAACAAAATCATCAGCACAAACTCTTAGTAGAAGTGAAGTATTCAAATTTCTCCCCGTATGACTCATAGCTGGTCCTATTGACCTTAAACCTTTCTTTGTCTGCAACAGGACAAACTACGAGTCCTATATGGAGAAATTCGAATACTTCACTTCTCCCTGAAGTTTGTGCTGATAATGTTGTTCAGAAGAATAATGAAAGCTCTACAACTAAATCAATCCAGCTCTGAGAGAACGAAACTTGACCATAATCATTCATCTGAGCTACACACTTTTCTCACCATTACAATATTAATTTTTATTTAAAAGTTTCACTCATAGTTTTATGGTTGATATTTTGAATATTTTTAAAAAGACATATTGTACGTTGTTTGCTTAATCAAGTTTTGTTTTCAATCTCTCTCCTTAAATTTCTCTCCTTACATTCATAACTGAAAACGAACTATAACAATTTCAACAGTATACACCAGATTTTGTGAATATTGCACGTAATACACTTAGTCGTTTAGCTGCTGGTCAATCAATCGATGAAAAAGCCTATCGTTATTCAGGTCATGCATTATGCAATGGTGTACATGATTTAAGATTAACCGTTTTAAATGAATGTGATCTACCATTTGATCAGGATATTGAATCATTGAATCTACGTAGTCAACATAATGGTGGTGTTGTTAGTGATCATCTTCCACTATTGTCATCGTCTTCTCCACCTCCTCCACCACCACCACCTCTTCCTCATCATCAACAACGTCATCCCCATGATCAACATTCAAATGACAATGAAGAAATTGAAGTTCCACCGGATTCCATGAAAGATAAACATTCATTCCGAGAAATGGACAGTAATAATAATTCTACTGCTAATTATTATAACTATGAATCTCGTAAGTATTTACCATATAAAAGATATTATTGATGATCTATATGAAATGAATTTTATATTCATGTGATGAACATGTTTTATGATATCAACTTGCTTTTTATAGAAAAAGAAAACAGTTGTTGTGTTCATTCTAATTTTTTTTTTCAATTGTTCAATTGAGTTTTTTGTTTTCTTTCCGCAAAATGTTTGTCGTCTTTCTACTGTTTTGTTGTTATTGTTGTTGCGTTTTTTTCTCTCTATCTCTCTCTCTCAGGAGAATATTTTCCTACCTACGTTTTGATAAATTGTCTTTCATATTGTTACTATTTTTATTACTGTGATGACAATAATTATTTCTTTGTCTTTAGTTTTTTTCTAAAAAAAAGAGAGTTTTTATATTTTTACATGATACTGGCAGGTTTTTCGCTTTTTAAATTAAAACTAATTTTATCTTTAAATTTTATTGTTTACAAGTTAGGTCAATGTTGTCTGTCATAAATGTTTTGGTTTATAGGAAGAAAATGGATAAGTGTGTGTGTGTATAGGGGTCGTTGGTTCATCATTTGATAATTCAATTGTCAATGTTTGTATGATTTACTGTCTGATTTAATCACATCATTGATGTTCATAATGTATGACAAATCAGTTTTGTACAGTGGAAGAGATTCCACAAAAAAGTTTTCTAAAAAGCCGTGACTATTCATAAGTCTTCACGGTAACCTGAACATGTAAACAAAATGATCTAAGCTGGATTAATATTTCGCAGATAGCATGGTGTCTGATAAAATCTCAGCTTAACTTATGGCGTAGGCAAGATATCCGTCTACTAACCAGAGGACAAGTCTACTGTGCAACTGTTCGTTCTGTTCTACTTGACGGCTATGAAACATATCCAATAAGAGTAGAGGATATTTATTGGTTACTAGTATTCAATTATCGGTGTCTTCGAAGTATTGCTCGTATATCCAGGGATCACAGAGTAAGTAATGCTGCTGTCAGGAAATGGGTTTTATGTAAGAATGACAAATCAATTGATGGAGTAGTGAATCTTGATCATTTGAGATGGTTAGGACGTATGTTACGTATGCCCAAACACTGATCGTTTCGACAAGCATTTTTTTGCAGTGTAGGAGTAAGTTGGAAGAAAACCAGAGGCAGCCAAACCAGAATATGGCACAAATCCATGAAATCACTGACAATTGGATTGGGTCATGCTGGTAAGTGTAGACTACCTGGTAGTGGTCTGTGAGACACTTTGAATGAAATAACTTAAAATAGTTTACATTATCTCAGATGCATCTTTTATTTGTATTCTGTAAAATTCTAATCTTCTGAATTCCTCAAGACCGTTTTTTCTCCTTTTAAATTTATTTGACTGGTCTATGCTTCTTGAATCATATCTTTGATCCCTAATATTTTCTATTACCTCTAATACTTTTACTACCTCTACCATTATGGAATTTAAATTTACAATTCGATGTCTCTGTGCTAATATAGCGTAGCAACTTGAACTGATGTACGTACCCACGAAGTTCCACATTGTATCTGACTGATTAACGACTGACATATCACCTTCCTTTATTGAGGTAAGCAAGTATTCTTCTGTGTTAATTAATATCATGCTATCACAACTTCAGATTATGTAATGGATATTTCTTCTGTCACAATATCTCGTTTACACTGAATGCTCTTAATGGGAGTCTTCTTTGGTGCTAGAGATATTCATTCACTTTTTTGTTTTGGCTTCAGATTGTTTTCAATGAATTCAGGTAAATATCGATTTTTGATCAGTATCTATCGTGTAGTTTATAAAGTTGAATGTTGATTTTATCATCGGTACAGATAATTCGTCTAACCCTCGTGAATAGAGAATCGGTTAGTTTTTTTATTTTTCTTTGGCCAACCAACAGCGTAACGATTTCACTGATTACTGAGAAAAGTCGAAAGCTAAAATAACAGCATGCCTACAAAACCAATTAGGACGTTCTTTACGAATACATAGTTTAAAGGAGATATTGTAGAGAAAATTCTAAAAAAAAACGAGCTTTTGTGATCTCGGAGAAAATTATTTTATTGTGTTGAACTGCATATCGTCTTCTTTAGTCAGATTTTCATTCATGGTTGTGTGAACACATGATAATAATTAGAAAATGAATATATATTTGTTGTGTAGATTGTCGAGTTTCGTTGAAATCATGAACCAATCCATGTTAGGCCACCATTAGGAACCTAGAAGCACTGGATAGCTGTTTGGTCCCAGTGTTAGACTCATCAGCTCTGCTCATCCCCACGATCCCTGCTTGCAGGAACCGAACCCAGGACCTTTTCAGTCCTGCGGGCAGGCTTGATTGCCTTGGTTGGGGGTCGTAGATGCATACTGCCACTGATGAATCGAACACTGGGACGAAACGGCTCTCCAATGTTGCTAGGCTCCTAATGGTGTTTTCTAACATTGATTGTTTCATGATTTCAATGAATATATCTTAGTGAATCAGATCTCAGTAGGTCAATATCCACTGTTTGAATTTGTGACCTTAATTTTAAAGTTCTAATCTAATATTTTTTTCTTCTATTGAAATTAATTTAAGAACTGAATCGATCCATTCCATGAAATAGTTTGTTTAAATAACTAGTTGACATTGACGATATATTAGAACTAATCATAAATGAATCCTCAAATTTTTATTATTATACAGTCTAATTTACATTTGTATAGTTGAATAAAATACCGAAAAGACGACATTAATTTCCTTGTATTAACTAGGATTCAACTTTTACACTTTTCTTTTTAAACATATGTATATATGAGTATTTCTATTGTTTATTATAGAATAAAATGTACTTTTGTTCTGAATCATCATAAATAACACAGAATAATAACATAATCCACTTATTAAATGATTTAATTAAAGTCCAACAAATAAAGTACATTTACAGCTTTAATTAATATTTATCGTATGTAATAAGAGCTTTGGTTATATATATATATATATATATATATATATATATATATATATATATATATATATATATTCATTATGGGGTTGTGAAGATGGTTACGTTACCCATTTTTGAAACCATGAATCGATCAATGTTAGACCACCATAAGAAACCTGGAAGCACTGGACGGCCGTTTCGTCCTGGTATGGGACTCCTCAGCAGTGCGCATCCACGACTCCTGTGCCCCGCAGGATTCGAACCCAGGACCTTCGGTATTGTGCGCGAACGCCCGTTAGACCACTGAGCCGGTATCTAACGGTGTTAATGTCTAACTTGATCAAATTCACGGAGTTGCGCAGCCTCATACACAGTCTTCGGTAGACACTGCCTACACCCGAACAGGTTGAACTTCGCTGGTCACGTCTTCACGTCGATTCATGGTTTTAAAAATGTGTAACTTTCCTTTGAATAGTCTCGTTAGTATTACACTGATCACACCAAATAATTAATATCAAAGTTGTTAGCATAATTATTTGAATCTTCAATAACCACTTCACTGTTACATATTATCAGACAAAAATTAGTCAAGTAACTTGACGGCTGTTGTTGTGTACCCGATAAAGAATGTGAACGGAACTGAAGACCACTTTAATTTTAAAAATGGACAGGAAATAGAAGACAAAGTTATCCAGCCCAAATGTGTTCGATTGAACTGCCTCTGAGAGCGATGATGCCTGGTTTAGGGCTAGTCTGGAAGAAAAATCTAGGAAGAGCCAAACCAAAACATGACAGAAATCCATGAGTTCGTCGAAAACTGGACTGAACCATGTTAGATGGTGTAGACTACCTGGTTGAGGTTCACGAGACAATAGTAACCGATGGTTGGATACCTTGTTAGATACTTCTAATCTTCTGAATCCTTCATGACCTCTATCTTTCTCTTTTTAAATTCGTTTCACTGAATTATACTTCTTGAATAATATCTTCAAACCCCAATCTTCTCTATTACTGCTAATAATTCTACTACTCTACTACTATAAGTTTTCACTTGACATTTTCATCTCTGTGTGATAATGTAGTATGGTAACTTGAACTGTTCTACCTATGTACGAATTTCTATACATTGTAGCTGGCCGACTAACTGAGTAATATCTTAAAACTGTGCACAAGTAAGATACAAATGAAACTAACATAAAGCAAACTACTACTTCTACTACTGCACACACACACACACACGTGTTGATCAAACTGTATTCATTTTGTTCTTTTCTTATTTTTGTTTAATCATGTCCACTTGTAATTTTAAAATGAACTCCGGGTTAAATGTGGGTAGATAATGTTGCATATATATATAGCTTGGTTTTTGTTACTTATTACAACACAAATGTGTAGAATGAATTCTATCTGTTTACTAGAGATACACATGTTGCATTGTTTGTTTATGTGGTTGTGAACACACACACACACATGCGACTGTGTGTGTATTTGTGTTGTTTTGTGTAGTAAAGTCAATGATGAAGTAAGTAAGTAATCATATTCTTGCAATGTAACTGATATCATGTTTTTTTTTCTTCTATAGTTGAATGGAATCAATCAACAACCGGTTTACAGAATGATAATAATAATATTTTAGTTATGTATTATTTTACACTTTACTATTACGAGTTATGATAAATTGAACAGTATGAACAGTATGATTGAAATATTTATTGTTGTTTTATTTAACATAAAAGCGACTTGTCTAACAGAAATGTAGAAGCGATCAAGTCAAAATACTGCATAACTATCAGGAAGTATCTTGTTGACATGTTAGTTCGGTTTGAATGTCATGATAAATCAGGAGAGTTATGTTAACTGGAACACTTGTTCCTTGAGGTTCTACCATGCATGGTAGGTGGGTCAATTTAGTGAGAGGTTGGTAAGATTGTTTGACAGCAAAGCGCTGTTAACCGCAGACAGCTGTAACGGTAGTAAGGTGTGTTCCCCTCAGTCTAACAACACATGCTTCTTTCCTTCAAATAGAGGAAGTGGGTAAAAAATGTTGACCTTAAAAATAGTCTACTTCACCTTATCTTACAGATTATTGTGACTGGTAGTAAGATTTGAAAAGTATGTAGCCAATTTTACTCAAATGTGCATATTGGCCTCGAGTAGTTGTATTTTAGACTGACTATATAGTCAAACTCCTAGGTAGTTAAGACTATCTCAGACTGTTGTTGCTTGTTACGTCTCGTTTATTATTGAATCCATAAGAATCTCTATATTACTACGTATTTCTCAGTAGAGCAATGATAAACCGTTTCGTCTGATTGACTTGATACTCTGATTGTTTGGAATGAGCAGTTAAAAACTGAGTTCACTTGATTTCTGGAATTTTTATATTTTTCTCAACATTTATCATCTCAGTTCGGATAACTTACATTACAATTAAACTTCCGATTCTAGCGGGTCATCGACTTTTTTGTTGAACTAAACGCAATATCTGTTTCTTGACTACATCTATACAACTTGTGCTTGTAGGTTATCTTGTATTTGTATTATGAATAGTTCTGACTGTAATTTCAAATTGTATTTAGTAGTACGTACAACATTTTACTATCGATAAATATCTCTTTGACATGGATATAATTCATGATTATTTAAAATATACTGTTTAAATGTTTTCAATAGTCAATCTCTTCCACTCAATAAAGTATTAGTTTCTATCAGTTCAGTTGCTATAACTCTACTTTCTCCTATCATGTATAAAGTACTTGAATTCTTACAAATAGCTCTCAGGTTGTTTTTTTTCTAAAGGATAGTTAAAATGGGAATTACTACAGGTACGAATGTGTTTCAGTATTCAACATTTGCAATAAATCCAGTAAATAAGTAAATCCAGTTTGTACTTGTAATTATTTCGTTAAAACATGTAGTTTCTTTGTACAATTGGAATATAAATCAGTCAGACACTTGAGCAAACTTTACATTTTGACTATCTCAATGTTGATTACAACTGACTCATTTGATATACATAATGAAACAATTTCGACTGGTTTATTCAACTCTAATTACTTTTGATCGCAAACTGCATTGTATTTAGAGACATTGTCATAATGTTACAACATTATGACAAATTTACATCATGAAAACTATTTTCCAAAATGAACATACACTTTATGTTCATAAGTAAATGTACGCGTAGAAAAGTATTATTTATGAAATTGAAACTGATTGTCCTTGTTTTAAATTTAAAAAAATCTACTGTACATTGGAAAATCATGTATAGAATTGACTGTAATAGCGCAAAAGCATTGAATTTCTACCTTCTCTTTGAGTGGAACTTTTAAAATTGTTTTAGATTTTGTTATTTCAAGCATTTATTTTTTGTCAAATAATAGTATATATTATCTTACTTACTTACTTAACTATGCCTGTTACCCCTAATGATGAAGCATGGGTCGCCGATCAGCGTTTTTTTGCCAGTTGGTTTTCTATAGGATAGGGTCTTTAACCCCACGCTCAACCCTCCTCCTTTATTCGGGTTTGGGACCAACAGAAGAGCTTCAGGTGGAGTTATGTATATTTATGTAGTCAGTCAGTCAGTTACAACGTAAAACTTCGTATGTTCGTACATCAGTTCAGGTTGCCATACCGGATTAGCACTCAAAGTCTGAGAGCGAAGATGTCCCGCCGACTGTAAAGGGGTGTGACAGCAGTAAGGTGTTTCTTTCGGAAAACCAGCATCTACAGCGTTGTTGCCTTCTCACAAGGAAGGAAGGGTTAGGAAAAGTTGACCCTCAGATTTCCTTCTCCGGCGGTAAGGCCTTTTAAACAAGAGTGGAGCTAACACTTCGAAAACTTCACATAAAAAGGCCTTGCGTGACCGGCTTCAAGCAGTTGTCCCTTGCGCTCTGTGGTCACGCTCCTACGTCGTTAAGACCAACACTAATGTACCTTCCTTTTCAGTTTCCTCAAGAAACACCCTTCCACGTTGTGGGCAGTCGGGAAGTGGCATCCTCCCTCATACCCGTAACAACACACGAGACCGAATTGGTCATAATCAAGTCCTTCCTACACCCTCCTAACATTTCTCTTATCTCCATAACTCACCCTTCTCACATCCCTTTATCACCCTGCGTCGCTGATGCAAACGATACATATATATATATATATATATATATAATTTTTCTATATATGGTTTTCACTTGTTATTAACTAATTATTATTTTCTATTCTTTACTTTTGTTGTTTAAATATTTCAATTTGGATGATTAGTGATACCTGTTTCTATCCTAAGGGTTTTTTTTAAAAAAAATAATTGTTTATTGACTAACCGATTGATTGGTCACACCTATTTGTTGTTTTGAAAGTAGAGAATTTAATTATTCTTTTGTTATCTGATAATACTCTACTAATGCAGCTTTACTGTAATTAGTTTTAATCCATGCATCTATCGATAAGAATTTCATTTGTTGTTTTATTCGTATCATGTTAGCCAATTTCAATCCTTTCGGGTCTTTTTCAATAATTGAGTGACGCTCAAACTAAGACTTTACATCAGTGTGTGAAACCATTGATTATTGATCGGAGATGTCTTCTTTGATGCGGACTTTTCGGTTATATTTCACTGAACAATTACGACTTGAGTTTGAAAAATGTTAGGTGATCGTCGACGGATCCATCGATGATCTTCATTTAGGTTATAAATTCCAGTATTCCACCTTACATACTTTTCCACTCTATCGTTTTCAGTCTTAATCTAAATGTTTGATCTTTATAACTAATTTTGCTACTAAGATTATTTCTCTTCTTACTATTTCGTGATGAAAATTTTGATTAACGCATCTTTGTACCACACTTTATGTTCATTGTAACTAAGTGAATTGGATTCCATCAATCACTGATTATAACTGGGAAGAGCAAACCTACGTTTCATATTCATATTATTAGAGAAAACTGAACTCTGTTAAGAAATAATAAACTGAAATCATTCAAGTTAATTATATATTTTGTTTATTATTTCTATACTAAGTTATCCGTATTCATAGATATTGTATAAATATATACTATCTATTATCTAACTGTAACTAATAAAACATACTGGCCTTAATAGTTAAAACATTTAACGTTTACTCATCGGGTTATAAGTTTGAACGCTTCTCTACTTACCAGATAATTTCATTCATCTTTATACAAAAGTAGTGCATATCAAGGCTGAGTTTGGAAGAAAGTTAGGGGCGGCCAAACCAAAACATGGCAGAAATCCATGAAGTCACTGACAAGTGGACTGAGTCATGTTGGTAGATGTAGACTACCTGGTTGGGGTTCGCGAGACGATAGTCACCAATGGTTAGAGACCTTGAACGACAGGGCTCAGAATCATTTGCAATGGAGCAGGTGCATCCACCCTTTGTGTTCTCTCTAATTCTAACCTTTTGAATTCCTCATAATCTCTATATTTCTCCTTCTAAATTTATCTTACTGAATTATACTTCTCGAATAATATCTTCGCTCCCTAATCTTCTCCATTACTGCTACTACTTCTATTATTGCTATCACTCTTGAATTTGAACTGACAGTTACATCTCTGTACTGATGTAGTATGGCAACCTGAATTGATGTACTTGCGTACGAAGTTCTGCGTTGTCTCTGTCTGTCTGTCTATCAAAGCTGAACACAAGAATCTATCTGTACTTTGTAATGATTTCAATTATAAGCACTATATATATATATATATATATATATATATATTAATGGATGTTTACTTTTGTACACATATATTTATAAATTGTAATGCTTGTGTTTTTTTTTCTTACTATTTAAAATCTTATCATTAAGATTCATTTAAACAATCCATTGGTGATATTTATGTATCACAAGAAAATCAATTATCTGAAAGAAATGAAGTACTCTCTGTGCTGACTAGTCCACAACGTGAAACAATGGCTGAAGAATTAGCTGGATTTTTAGCAGAGAAAAAACGTTTCATGCGTGAAATAGTCAAATGGGATGATTCTGCTAATGATATTATTGTGCTGGCTAAGAAAATGTGTGTTATCATGATGGAAATGACAGATTTTATACGTGGTAAAGGTCCGTTACAAACTACACTGGATGTTATTAAAGTAAGTAATTTGCGAAAAATATATATTTCATTCACATAAGGTTTTCAATTTCGCGTTAAATTTAGTTAGTTTTGTAAAGTTGTAGGTTGATTTTTTGTCAAAAAACAACATTTCTGACATTTAGTAAAATAGTTATACACTTGTGATATTCCAATGTGTTTTGACATTAGAATCTCTGACGTTTCATGATGTAATTCGAGTCGCTTTTTCGAAATAAATCAATGTACAAATAACCAAAATAATTTTTAACACAAGTTTACATTTTTGATGGTTATTCAAATGAGATTATCGGTATCTGTTCACAGTGTTATTAACCTCAAGAATGGTGATCAATAGAAGTTAAGATAGTTTCTCGGCTAAAGTATACTTTACTGACGAACCAATTAGATGTAAGATAACGATCACTTTAACGTTTAATTATAATTCTAAATCCTAACCCAACTCTTGTTTTTTTTTTCTGGGTTTTTTATGTAATTATTTATTCATTTGTTTTATGACTTGTATTTCACTAATTGGTTAAACATTGGTTCTACTTTCTTAAGGTCACTTTTATCAGTCATTGAAGGTCATCAGCACAGTATACTTTTATCCATTCAATATGTTTGTAATTGTAGTAGACATGTAACTTATTAGGAATCTCCACATATGACTATCAATCATTCAATATTAGTCTAAGTTAATTAACCGATAGTTAGAGACTTTGAATAACATGGCTTAAAATCGTTTGCAATAGCGCATATACATCCATTCTTTGTTTTCTGTCAAATTCTAATCTCCTGAATTTCTCAAGACTGTTTTTTCTCCTTTTAAATTTATTTCACTTGTCTACACTTCTTGAATCATATCTTGGATTGTTAATCTTGTTGATTACCTCTAACATTGATATTAACTCTGTCACTATGGGATTTGAAGTGACGATTTCATTTCTCTGTGCTAATGTTCTATGACAGCTTGAACTGATGTACGTACGTACGTTTGAAGTACTTAATACATAGCATCATATCTCATAGTATTCAACGTTTAGTGTTTCAATCCATTGTTACTTATGTACGACTATATTGTATATTCTATGTCTTATAGTTATGTTGCACTAACTTACTGTAAAAAGGATGATGTAATGTATTATTATTTGGCCAATTTTGTATAGTTGATTATCTTTGTAGTATAATACTGCATTGTATATTTGGGTATTATGTTTAGAATCTTCTGATTACTTACTTAATTATTTACTTACGCCTGTTACCCCCAATGGAACATAGGCCGCCCACCAGTTTTCTCCAACCAACTCTGTCTTGGGCTTCCCTCTCCAATTCTGTCCAATGTTTGTTCATTCCTCTCATATCTTTCTCTATTTCTCGGTGTAATGTGTTCCTTGGCCTTCCTCTTTTCCTTTTGCCTTGAGTGTTCCATGTGAGGGCTTGTCTTGTGACACAGTTAGGTGCTTTTCGTAATGTGTGTCCTATCCACTTCCATAGCTTCTTCCTGATTTCTTCCTCCACTGGAATCTGGTTTGTTTTCTCCCACAGTAGGTTGTTGCTGATGATGTCTGGTCGACGGATCTGAAGTATTTTGTGAAGACAACTGTTCATAAATACTTGTATCTTGTGGATGATGGCTTTCGTAGTTCTCCAAGTTTCCACTCCATACCGTAGAACAGTCTTGACATTTGTATTGGAAATCCTAATATATCTGTATTATCCTTCTTTAATTGTGGAAAACGTCTTTTAATTTATTTGAATTAGATCAAAGGTAAAGCATCACAAATGAACAGTTGCGATATAACTTGGTATTTGAGTTTTAATTGAATCAATAAATTTTTTTATGGTTTATAGGTGGTGGCATTGATAAAGTTTATTATCATCTAGTAAGCCATATGGCAAAAGAACTTAGACATAGAGTAAAGTCATACAAAAATTACTTCTTTATTCTCACTGTCGATAACTTTCGAAAACAATCTGGTTGCTAAAATGTGTTATCCAGTGAAAAATCTGTTCTTTTTTCACTGTGAATATTACCTTACTACGTGCGAAAGCACAAACAACCGAAACCAGACTTAATCAGTGGAAAATTAATTTCTTGAAATGAAGAATGCACTCCTACGAGCTAAACAGAATCCTGTTAATAAAATGTATTTTTAGTGATAAGCCGTTAGAAATAGTGTTATCTGTGTCAACTTACATATAGTGGAAGACAGTGTGGAACTTGATCTTTTCATATTGATGATTTATGATAGGTGTATGGTTTTGTGAATAGTTATCCCCGAGACTGCATTTAGTTTGTCGTGTGACCACTGTTGTAGTCTCACGATAATATGTGTCTTTAGAATAATTACGACCACCGTTTTTTTGACCAGTGTCCCATTATGTTAGAACATTGGATTTGATGATTTATGGACGTCTTAAGTTTCATAGGCTTTCATATCGAACACTGTTGGTAACGCTGCTATCAAGTCAAAAGAGTAAAGCAAAATTCAATTTAAAGTTTAAAAATATGCTTAGAATAAAGAAAACCTTTGTGTCTAGTTTATAGTATTTATTGATGAAGCATAACTCTTAACATAAATCATTTCATTCTCACTATGGCTCAAAACCGTTTGCAATGGTGCAGGTGCATTCAATCTTCAAGCAATTGATTTTCAATTCAAATCCAATAGTAGAAGAGGTAGTAAAGGTATTAGAAGTAATCAGAGAGGTTAAGATTAGAAGATATTATTCAAGAAGTATGATTCAGTGAGAAAGTCAAAACTAGGAAGGTTGAAGAATCCAGAAGATTAGGATTTGAGAGAACACAAAGAATAAATGCACTGGCGCCATTGCGAACGATTTTGAGCCTGTGTCATTCAAGGTCTCTAGCCATCGATTATTATCATCTCGCGGACCCCAACCAGGTAGTCGACAATTACCGACATGGCTAAGTCCACTCGTCAATGACTTCATGGATTTGTGCCATGTTTTGGTCTGGCCGCCCCTAAATTTCTTCCAACCTATTCCTACACTACAAAACAAAGCTCGACGAGGCAGTCGGTGGTTGGGCATACGCAGCACGTGTCCCATCCACCTCAACTGATGAAGTTTCATTACTTCATCTATTGATCTGTCATTCTTACCTAGCACCCGTTTCCTAATAACAGCGTTGCTCACTCGAGTGTCCCAGGATATACGAGCAATGCTTCGAAGACACCTATGATCTAAAACCAGTAACCTACGAATATCTTCTACTCTGACTGGCCATGTTTCATAGCCATACAGTAGAACGGAGTGAACTACTGCGCAGTACACTCGTCCTTTAGTCAGCAAACGGATATCTCGTCTACGCCATAAGTGACGCAGGTTTGCAAAAGCCAATCGAGCCAATCAATTCCTCATCACTTTATCTTTATCTTTTTAAGTTTTTTTCATTAGATTCTACTTCTTGAATAATATCGTCGAATCCTAACCTCTCTGACTACCTCTACTACCATTTTATTTGAATTGACAATTCGATCTCTCTGTGCTAATGTGGTATGGCAACATAAACTGATGCACGTACGTACGTACTTACGTAGTTTTACGTTGCTATTGATTAATTGATACATTCCACTATTATCAAAGTATCAAGTTAGTTTGTTGGTACTGAAGTAATTTGTTTTTAATTTTCATTTTTCTAGTCAAATTTCCTCGTTTTTCTCATTCAAAAAATCTCTTACCTTTTTTAGGCAGCACAAGAAATATCGGAACTTGGTAAACGCTTAAATCGTCTCTGTCGACAGATTGCAGATATGTGTCCAGATTCTGCTAGTCGACGAGATTTGTCGGCTTATTTACAACGAGTTACATTCTATTGTCATCAATTAAGTATTACTAGTCGAGTGAAAGCTGGTGTACACATGCTCAGTGATGAAATTGTGAGCTTTTTTTTTTCAACAATTATTTGCATTATGAATGTACATGTATATTGATTGGTTGATATTAGTTGACTATTGAATATATGACTTGTAGTAGTGTATATGGCGTTAAACAGTGTTTAGTTGAATTATAAAACAATATGTCTAAGTGTTTTTGTTACGAGTATGAGGGCGGTTATCACTTCCCGGCTGCCCACACCGTGGAAAGTTGTTTTTTGAAGGACCTGAAAAGGAAGATAGATTAGTGTTGGTTTTGGAGACCTGGGAACGTGACCGCAATTTCCAAGGGACAACTGCTTGAGGCCGGTCACGCGCGGCCTTTTTATGAGAAGTTTTTCGAGTGTTAGCTCCGCTCTTGAAAGCCCTTAGTGGGCACCCTTACTGCCGGAGACGGAAATCCGTGAGGTAGGGTGAGGTGTGACATTTTTAGGGTCGACCATTTCTAACCCTTCCATCCTTGTGAGAAGGCAGCATCGCTGCAGATGCTGGTTGTCCGAGGGAAAGACATTACTGCTGTCACACCCCTTTTCAGTCAGTCAGCAGTACGACTTCGCCCTCAGACCTTGGGTAGCTGCTTTTATTCTGATCGTTCTATAATCGATCAGCGTGGCATGGTAGAACCTTCAGGATCATATGTTCCAGCCAATATAGCTCGGTTGTGTCATGACGATAGTCAAGTCCGACCACCACGTCAAGGTAGCAGCTTCGGTAGGTGGACTGAGTCATGTTGGTAGATGTAAACTACCTGGTTGGGGTCCGCGAGACGGAAGTCACCAATGGTTAGAGACCTTGAACGATATGGCTCAAAATCGTTTGCAATGGCTCAAGTGCATCCATTCTTTGAGCTCTCTCAAATCCTAATCTTCTGGATTCGTCAGCACCCCTACCTTTGTCTTTCTAACCTTATTTCACTTAATTATACTTCTTGAATAATATCTTCGAAGCTTAGTCTTCTTCATTACCATTAATACCTCTACTATCTTTATCACTATGGGATCTGATTTGACATTTGCGTCTCTGTGCTAATAATGTGGTATGGCAACATGAACTTATGTATATACGTACGAAGTTCTACGTTGCAACTGACTGACTGATGTCTAAGTGTCATCTATTTCGATCAGTGCCAGCCACTGTGAAACAAAAGTTTCAATTTCTTACTTATCGTTTGCATCCATCTTTAACATTTTCTTGGTTACATGCCTTATCATTGAACAACTTTGGTAACCTTCATCCGCATCCGGTTTGGCGGAATTTCATCATCACCAACTGCTCGATTAAGGGAAGGGAGAGAAAAAATCATACTTTATTCATAAACTATTTGCTAAAATTTTGACAAAGCTTACACACTTCGTGATACTCATGTAGTGGGTACTACTCGTAACGTAGGTTTTAAGTAGTATGCAGAGGAGAACGCCCAAAAGTTACGTCTGCAGAAAAGTGTCGAATCGAAAGGCATATCGCAATCAAAGTATTTTGAAGACTAGAACACATGAAAGAAAGATAGATAGCCAGAAATCTACTTATTTTGTAAATGCACATCTGAAGATAAGGTGTACGTACACATTTTGTTAGCAAACTGTCTCCTTCTATCTGGTCATGACGTATTTATTCATTGCACTCATCATATATATATATATATATATATATATATATATATATTCACTGACTTAATTTAATGTACATAATCGTAATTTATTTAAATATTGTTTAGGATGTATGCCACCATAATAAGTGTTATATTATTCCGAATGTATCAACATGTTTCATTTCTTCATAAGTTTTCTATAGATGGACATTTGTTCTTTTTTGTTTTACTTCTATTTATTGATTTATTGTCATTGCTAATTAACTATTCAAATAATCTACACACAATTGTATTATAATACAGTTCATATATTCACTTGTTTAACCTTTATCTGTGTTATTTTGACAGAATTCTACATTCATATGCATATTAATCAGTGTTGGTTAAAATGAAAATAAGTATTATTCACTTAACTGATGTGACCATATGACTTGATTCAACTTTTATTGAATTAGAACAACAATATTGTTTTCGATTAGATCGTTATCAGGACTCAAATTGCCTTGATTGGTTTAACATTTTCATATATAAATATTCATGTATATTAGAGAGTATAAAGCCTGATGACGATCTAATCGAAAACACTAATATTGTTCGGCTTATATGTGTTGTTCTAATTTTCACAATGGTAATCTTTAATATTTTATTGAATTGCAACGTTTACTACTATTTTTGATATTAGTAGTTTAAAAGTATATCAAACAAAATGTTTATCCTGTTGATGAGCTTATTGTTTTACGCTCAAATTTTGATGTCAGTTTAGCTTACCGTAACAGTCAGTCTATGTGGTTATTTCTAGATTTTGATGGCGAAGTTTTTGATTTTATCTAAATCACACAATTTTGGTAAACAAAACAAAAAACCCCAACCCTAACCTAGTGACTACTGGTTTCAGTTCGTCCCTACCATTGAATACATCCTTTTTAGTATTTTGTTTCAAAATTATTCGATGTCATACATGATTAGTAATAACTAAATGCAGCATTACGTACCCATGTCACTGAATATACAATGTAAACAGTTGTTTATAAGATAAACTTTACTACAGTATATATATATCAATGTCATCATAGTAGTTAATATTATTGGTCATACAGATGTACAAAGTGGACTGGTTTCTGAAATACTATGAAACTGTCAAACTGTGTGGTTAGAAAAAGCATCATATAATGCGGACTTCATCGCATATCGTGTGAAAGTCCTGGGTCCAACCTCTATGGTACTATAAATATGCATTGCTAATAAATCTAACATTAAAAGGATAGAGTTACCCGGTACTCTCATTTCCTAAATGATATCAATCTGTGGCGAAAACAACTTAGAAACACAGTTGTTGTTTGTTTGCTACATTAGAGGGTTGGTAAATTACATGAAAAACCTTAAAACTAAACTTTTTTTAACTGACACAAAGGTGTAACCTAATGGTTTAAAGCTGTCGTATTCCAACAGTAAAGTTATGTGTTTCATCATTTCTCCGTTCTTAGTAAAGTAGAAGAAGCTGAGTAGTAAATCACTGGTCTTCATACAATCAATATGTTTCAAATCTGAACACAAGACCATCATATACTTGGCATAAAATGAGCATTATGTATTAAAACGCTAGTACCTTCGTAGTTGGCATGAAATGTTGAACCAATTAGACTAGTGAATATATCGCAACTTGATCGATTGATTTCCATCTGAAATGAAGAACCAAACCAATATAGCATTGGTCATTATTACTCAATGATCAATCAATAAACAATTCTCTGTGTGTGCATTTTCTATAATATCCTTTGTATTGATTGCTATTTTTATACCTACTCCATTTTGTTAACTTTCTAATCTTCTTTTACTTCACTGTAGTTTGAAAGTGCAACTTCTTTAATACAAGCAGCTAAAAATCTAATGACATCAGTTGTTTTAACAGTCAAAGAAAGTTATATAGCATCAACTAAATATCGTAGTAGTCCAAATCAACGTTGTATTGTTCAATGGCAAATGCGTACACCAGAGAAAAAATCATTAGTGTCGGATTATATAAAAAATCGTTCAATTTGTACACGTGATTATTTATTCGATGAATCCAATTCACATCATCCAGATGCATTAAATGAATTATCACAATTTAAACATCCACCAAATTCTCATAATTAGCAACTCTGTTTTTTTTCTGTGAAAATAATTTTATACTACTTATTAACAATGATACTACTGACTAAATGATGATAATCTTAATTTCGCCTAATCTCATAAGATCTGGGCTCAATTTTAATAATACCAATCGGATTATTTATTGTATAAATCTATATTGGGATAATATTTTTTTGAATTTCCCCAATACGTTTTTATACATAAAATTGACAGTTATCTGTTGTTTTTTTTCCGTATACAATCACAAAAACAATCTACCTCTTTCTCAATGCTTAGTTTTTATTCTCATCATTGTATTTTGTTCAAAATTGCTCAACTACATTTTGGAATTTATAATATTAATGCGTATAATGTATATATGGAAGGCTTAATTTCATTGTTTTATGCATATTAACACATTCCAGACAACAATAATCATCATCATCTCAGGTTCTACATATCTTGCTAACTTTTTTTTGTAGTTTAGATTACATCATATTGACCAATTACCACTAGTTACTGTTACTCATACTAATACAACTGTTCCTGATATTCCATTGTTCTCAATATTGTTATAGCAGATATTTGTATGATTGTTTAATTGTACTGTTTTTTATGTACGACTTTTTGTGCACAAATCATTGTTTTCTTCTAAATTGATTTTTTGTTGTTGTTGTAAATAATCTATCATAGTGATTTATTTCTATACTTTTTTCTTAATGTGTGCTGTTTGATAGTTTATTTTTGTCGGCAGCAGTGTTTTCTTGTTTATCTTTTTTTTTTCGTTTATTTTTAATTATTCGTTACAATAAACAAATTATTCATTAAAACTCTTTGATTGATTCAAATTTCTTTTTTGTGTTATTCAGTGAAAAATAGAAGAACAGAGATCTGTTCATGATGTATGGTTATTCTGAATGTGGATGTGTTTCTGCATTACTTCCCTATGAAACTTTAGTTGTTTTACAGTAACACATTTTTTGAAACCATGAATCGATTAATGTTAGACCACCATTAGAAACCTGGAAGCACTGAAAGACGGCCGTTTCGTCCTGGTATGGGACTCATCAGCAGTGCGCATCCACAACTCCTGCATACAGCAGGATTCGGCATTGTGTGCGAACGCCTAACCCCCGGACCACTGAGCCGGTATCTAACGGTGTTAATGTCTGACTTGATCAATTCACGGAGTTGCGCAACCTCATACACAGTCTTTGGTAGTTACTGTCTACACCCGAACAGGTTGAACTTCACTGGTCACGTCTTCCCACTAGAACTCGGAGAAGATTCCTCACGAAGCTAGTCACTAGTGATCACAGGTAATTTGCATTACGGGGTTTCGAAAATGTGTAACTTAACAATCTTCACAACCTCGTAATGTTTTACAGTAAGTTTAGTGCTTAAGTCTGAAAGTTAGTGTAGAGAATGTCAGTCAGTCAGTCAAATACAACGTAGAACTTCGTACGTATGTACATAAGTTCAGGTTGTTACACCACATTAGCACAGATACGCAATTGTTAGGTAGAGAATATGGTAAGAAGAAGGTTAGGGGAACAGTGAAACTTAGATAAGGAGTAGTTTGATTTATTAAATCCTACTGAATGTTTTGATGTGAATTGTTAGGAACAGAATTTTTGAACGTGCATGCCAAAGTTCTTAGGTTCTGTATCCTCCCTGTTACACGTAGAGTCAATTCAAGTTTTAGGGAGAGTTGTTTTAAAAAAAAATTCGTAAGCTTACCTTCTGACTTGTTCATCCATTACAAACTCTAATCACTATTCCATATTAGATTAGTACATTAAATTTCTCACTGCTTGAATTACTTGTATGATATATAGACAAAGCTGTTCTAATTAATGTCTTTTGAAAATTTCCAGCTGAAAAAACATTGAATTTATGTTGAATCAATGTCTGTATGTAATTAATAAATCTATACCTCCCAAAGTAGATTCATCGTTTCAGACTATTGATCTCTGTTTACATCTGTAATGAATAACAGCAATCGGAAATGGAGTGAATCTCTGAAAAAAACTATAATGAGATGTAAAGAAAAAAATTGGTTGGTGTTCAACTTTACTGTGTGATAAACGGTTCAGACTATACTTCGCATGAGTTAATCATGTTTAGAATTGCGAAACATGGCCAGTCTACGAAGCATTGCTCGTGTATCCCGGGACAACCGAGTAAGGGATGCTGTTGTTAGGAAACGGGCACTATGTAAGAATGGCAGATCAATTGATGAAGCATTGAAAGTTTAGCAGTTGAGGTGGTTGGGGAATGTGTTGCGTATGCCTAACCACCGACTGCCGCGACAAGCTATGTTTTGTGATGTAGGAGTAGGCTGGACGAAAGCTAGGGGTGGCCAAACCAAAACATGGCAGAAATGCATGAAGTCACTGACAAGTGGACTGTGTCATGTCGGTAGATGTAGGCTACCTGGTTGGGGTCCGCGAGATGATAATAATCGATGGTTAAAGACCCTGATTGTCATGACTCAAACCCGTTTGCAGTGGTGCAGTTGTATACATTCTTTGTGTTCTCTGAAGTCTTAACTTTCTGGATTCCTCATCACTTTTATCCTTTTCTTTTAAGTTTTTTATTTCACTCGATTCTACTTCTTGAATAATATCGTCAAACCCTGATCTCTCCGATTACTGCTAATACTTCTACTACCTCTACTACTATGGGATTTCAATTGACAATTGCATCTCTGCGCTAAGGTTGTGTGGCAACTTGAACTGATGTACGTACGTACGAAGTTGTACGTTGTTGTTGACTGACTGACTGATGTTTAGTATCAGTGTCATGCTATCGAATTTTAATGAAGGTTTTATTTAAGCGATTATGCTTGCAGTATAGTCTCTCGGTAAAATAACACAATATTGTTTTGTATTTTGCGTAATGTTAGGTGATTTGAAATAGAAGAGAGGTCTTCAGCCTACAGATATTGTTAATTAACATTTACTGGCAATAGTTTCGGTCCCATGTAAACATCTCGTTATTAAAAGAGCTTAGTTTATAGCTTCAATAATTGATTGGCAGCTCCTCTAACTGCGAAACAGTTGAAAATTCACAGACAGCATTAGCTCCTTGAAAATTGTAAATATTTATTGAAGACAAGTGTCATTCATTATGATGTCTAGGTTTAGAGTTAATTGCCAATTACCACGGACAATTTAATACGGAATTAAATTAATAAACATATTATTTGACTTATTTATGACATGATTTAAATAATGAGCCGATGGCTTTTTCATTTGATCCCAGAATTATCAAGTTTGCTCTGACACTGAGAAAAACTATGCTTTCACTCAAATGGTAAAATTATGTGATTCGATGAAATGTTTATTTTGGATTTATATACCAGTATTGTGAACATTTTCAGTTAAATATTTTTGGCCTGATAGAACATTAATCTGTAGAAAGTCTTCTAGGTGCAGATTGTACACTTTCTAGCACTCAGAAAGTTTAATGATAAGATAAAATGTAATAATACGTTTGATGATATTGTTAAGTTTCGTAGTTTACATCACAAAGTGACCTGAATTAGAGAACCATTGAAAATCAGCCTACATACTGAGTGATTTTTCAGAGTTTTGGCCGTCAGTCAGTCAGCTACAACGTAGAACTTCGTACGTATGTACATCAGTACAAATTTCCGTACCAACTTAGCACAGAGATGCCATTGTCAATTCAAATCACATAGTAGAGGAAGTAGTCGAATTATTACTGGTAATGGAGATCTAGCTTCGAATTATTATTATTCAAGAAATATAATTCAGTGATATAAACTTAGAAAGAAAAAGATAGAGGTGATGAGGAATTCAGGAAACTAGAATTTGAAAGAATATAAGGAATGAATGTACCTGAGCCACTACAAACGGTCTTGAGCCATGTCATTCAGGGTCTCTAAACATCGATTACTATCATCTCGCCGGCCTCAACCAGGTAGTCTACACTTACCAATATGGCTTAAAATCAAGTGTCAGACAGTTACTCAACAATGGTATACGCTCAGTATTGCGAGTCAACCAATGATAGATATTTAAACCATGGTGCTGACTCAACAGTCTAACAGTTAAGCTTTCACTACAAGACCTGAATTTCTTGGGTTCATTCAATTGAAGGATCATTGGTAAGTAGCACTAAGGAATTAGACAGGATTAGACAGTTGTTCAGTGCTTTCTAGTATTCATTCGTTGATTGACTAACCTTATTCCGTGTTGTAAATTATTTGATTATTAGAGTTATAAAATTAATTACTTTATTTCAAAACATCTTTTCATTATCATTCATTTCGTTGTACATTGTAATCGATAGCATCTTTTGATTAATGTTACGGAATGTATAAATATTTTATGCACGACAAAACTTCTACTACATGGTTTCAAGTCTCTTCTATAATCAACCACACATTTGAACACTAATATCTTAAATTTTATATAAACTATGACAGTTGAAGATTTGATCAATAATCTATATTAAGGGAGAAATACGGATGTTGTAAAAGATAATCATTGTTATTGCAATAGCCAGTTGACTGCAATATGTAGTAGTGATGATATTCTACTGAATAGTATTTCGATTGTTAAGAACAATTCCCTGAGTCAATGAAATGAACAATCCCTAACATCTCTATTACGTAACAAGCTGTAAACAAGATATATATAGAGAGTTTTGACTTAGCTTATCAATTAAGGCAGATTCACTGAAGTGTTCAAACAACTAAATCATGAGAAAATTAAGTGATTAAACATGAAAAAGACTCATTTACTATTCAAAATTAACTGTTTTACGCAATCTACTAACATAAGTGAATGACACTATAGTCAATTATTTTCTCTTTAAGCTTTAATCTTATATCTAGTTATATTTATAAACATTCAAACCAAGGTCATTTATGGGTCAGTGATGTAACCTAATGATATGTTTACAGTTATATATATATATATATATATATATATATATATATATATATATATATAACTGTCTATTCAAGCATAGCTTTAAGTAGACCTAACTGATAATACCCAGAGTCATAATTTACAACACCAACTAACAATGGTTAGATAAGTGTTAAGAAATAGAAAGTACTGATCAGCTGTTTTGTTCTAACAGTGGAACTACTCCATGAAAATACTAGAAAGCCAACTCAGGGCCTCCAATTTTCGCGTGGACTGCTCAGTCAGTATCTCGTGGTTTTTCAATGTTACCATTAAATAAAATAACATAAAGTATCCCAAGTCAATATTTTTTCTCACTTTAGATTCATGTTTACTAGATTTTTCTGATTAAACTTTTACTGAATTAAACAATTATGTTCATTCAATGTCGATGGGATAACACTGGCTTAGAATATACCAATCAAATGAGATCATAATTGCTAGTCACTATCACAAAACATAAAAAACTTTAGTGGATTTAAACTCATAGACATTAGTAAGACTGTTATACTCGTCACTCGATATGCTTGAAACTAGTACGAGTTCACCTTAGTCGATAAATGAGAACGAGACAATCAACCAGTGACACGGTAGGCTACTCTGATCCGTTGACCCAAAGAAACTAACGAAAAAGTCTTGACATAGCGTAGAAAGTGTATTCTACAATCACTTAGCATACACAATGATCTGAAGCACACAAATCGCGTTTATTTATACATCATAGAAACGTCTTTGAGAGAGTCACAAAAATAGCTTACTAAAATAAAACATCAGCCAATCAAAGCCTAGTATTTTTCTTGTGGGAAATGTGATCTGAAGGTCAACTGATCAGCCTATGAATAAAATCCAGAATTAAGACTTTTACCAAACGTCCCGAACAAAGACAAA